GTGAGCTGGACAGTTCCAGCAAGTCTATGAGACACGCCGTTCGTATGATGCCTCCCGATGTTTGGCGAAAAGATTCAAGCAGGGAAGCTGGAAGCGATATGACATTAAAAAATGAATTCAACTTGTTTATCATTCGCCATGACGATCAAAATATAAGATGCTACATATTTTTATATATTTGACATTTGTAGTGATAATTAGTGATTGTAGTGATTTATATTTGATATATTTTTTACGTTAGCAGCTCTATAATATGTTGATTATTTTTTTATAGGCGGAAATCGGATTAATGTTTTACTTTTAATGCAAACTCAATGAATTATCTTATTATTTATTTTGAAAAATAAAGGTATAATAATAATAAACTTGGTGATTAACGTTGATATTTGTTTTTGAGGTGATACTATGTTCACAGAGTCAGCTAGTTTTAGAATCAGCATAAAATTGCGAGACTAGAAATATATTTTATGATACAATTATTACGACATAAAAAATTAATCAAATGTGATTTATCTTAACATTTTGTAACAAAACCAATTCATTACACAAAAACCATCAATACTCTTAACATTGTAACCATAATTATTACTCTAACATCATCATTATTATTAAAATTACTGTTATATTAGCAAGAATAATTTATTAATATTTGCAATTTACATTGTGGCGTTGTGTCCAACCCGTTTATAACCGACAACATATTTTGGAGTTTATCGACAAGCAAAGCAAGCACACAAGCAACTTTTTCGCCCTTGTGTCGCGTCCTTCAAAATCGTAAATTTTTTCCAGGTATTCGAATAATAATAATAATAACAACAAAATCTTATCAGAAATAGAATGTAATTCATTGTCCATGAAAATTAATTTAAGCAAACAGTAATGATGATGATGTTAGAGTAATAATTATGGTTACGATATTGATTGTTTTTGTGAAATAAAAGGGTATTGTTACAAAGCAGTCACGTAATATCATCTCATTATTGATGTAAGGGAGAAGGCGGAGAATATCCAGGTGATGGCGGGGAATAGGATGGTGAAGATACGTAGGATGGTGAACTGAAGGGTGAGGATAGTGGATAGTAGGGCGATGCCGAGGCATAGCCGGGACTGGATGGGCTGTAAACAGGCGATGCAGGTTGAAATGGTGCTTTTGTCGGCTCATAAGTTGATGATGATGGTATATAAGATGGTGATGATGGTGTATAGGATAGTGATGATGGTGTATAGGATGGTGATGATGGTGTATAAGATGGTGATGATGGTGAATAAAATGGTGATGTTGGCACATAGGTTGGTGATGTCGGCACATAGGATGGTGATGATGGGGAATAGGATGGTGATGATGGTGTATAAGATGGAGACGTTGGTGAGTAAGCTGGAGAAGTTGGTGAATATCTTGGGGAGGTCGGTGAATACGATGGCGAAGATGGCGAACGTGGTGAGGTACAAGATAATAATGATGAGGCCTGGTAAGAAAGACTAGATGGGTTGTGGCTAGGTGAGGATGATTGTAATATTGACATATATCCTGGTGATGATGGTGAATATGATGGTGAAGTCGGTGAGTGACTTGGTGATGTTGGAGCATATGATGGTGATGTCGGGGTATAACTTGGCGATGTCGGAGAATATGATGGTGATGTTGGTGAATAAGATGGTGACGTAGGTGAATAAGATGGTGACGTAGGTGAATAAGATGGTGATGTTGGTGAATAAGATGGTGATGTTGGTGAATAAGATGGTGATGTTGGTGAGTATGATGGTGATGTTGGTGAATAAGATGGTGATGTTGGTGAATAAGAAGGTGATGTTGGAGTATACGATGGTGATTTCAGAGAATATGATGGTGATGATGGAGTGTATGATGGTGACGTTGGTGAATAATGTGGCGATGCAGATGAGTAAGTTGATGATAATGAGTAAGCCGGAGAGGTTGGTGAATAAGCTGGTAATGGTGGTGAATGTGCTGGTGAGGACATTGAAAATCCGTCATGTCCAGGTGAATAACTAGGACTTCTGCCGTATTCACTAGGTGATGTCGGTATACGTGACGGTGAACTCGGGCTGAATCCGCCGTTCTGTATGGGAGAGAACCCAGCACAATATTCCGGTGACAAGCTTCCATCTGGTGAGAAACAGCCATAGACTGGAGTGGTAGCGTTCCTATTTTCCCATGGGGTCATTTGTTTACTGCTCAACAGGGTTGCACCACCTGGAGGCATTGGTGCCAGACCGTAAATGCCCCTACCTGAAATTTCGTTTGAATTTAAAATTGTAAAAACTGTTATAGTTTAAATAAATGAACAAATGATATTTATAATTACGTTGTTTCACGTGAATGTAACTTTTCATTGATTAAAAATTGTAAAAAAAATGTTTTATTAAATTATAGAAATAATTATAAAAATTAATAAGGAGCGAACTTATTATGTTTTCTGATGGAACTGCGCCAGGAATCTCAATTCCGCCGAAGCACTTGTTTGCATCTAACATCATATCAAAACATCCAGTTCCTATAAGACAAAATATTATATATTATAACAATTATCATGCTGGAAAAAGTAACAGATGAATCTTCACCTTACTAACGCACTCTACTATCTCTAACTGAATCCTTATAACTTTCTTTATAATTTATTACTATTATAATCTAAGCAAATGTTCATTAGCATAAATTATTCACAAGTCCAGCACTAACCGATTTTAGCCAGTTGTCCGAGCATTAGGGCTTCTGATACTCCTTTCATCGGATCCATCTCTGAGTGGGCTGCTGCTTCGACTAAGATGTCAACCTGAGAATTTAACAATTAAATGATTATAATAATTATATAGACGATGAATCAGTCAAACAACTGGCCAGTCTACCATTCAACCAATCAATCCACTTACCGTTTCTTCGAAAGAACAACGAGCCAGTGCACCAGTCTCCTGCCTGTTGATCCCGTGACGAGTTATGGCCATCAGGTGACCTGTGAGAAAGTTCAAAGATCGTGTTAGTTGGTTATTCGTATTCAAATAAATTGAAGTCATATGACAAAACAAAAATTGAACAATTGACCAAAACTTATTTGAAAATTAAATAAAGAGCAGATAAAAAATAAAGAGTAAAATGCGTGATTGGTTACCTTTGGCCGTCATGACGTCGCAGAGCAGAGCGAGGTGTCTGTAGTTGACGTAAGAGCCGTCAAAAGAGATGACGTTGTTCATCTCGCGTTCAATCGCTTTACGTACTGCCTCGATTCCCAGGACCTGAAGTTTCATTAAAAGATATTATGAATAAACATTCGGTAAAAAAAAACGTTAACCAAAAACAAACTAATCAGCCATAAACAACTAATTAGTTGCGATGACATACAGTACACACTTACCTTAAAAATTTCTACAATGTCATTGGATACTGTTCGAACTTTGTCTACATTCTCAACCGCTAATACAGTGCTCAAGTCGGTGCCATCAGTTTCCAGTATCCAGTCCCTCAAAGCTCGAAATTCGCCTAGGTGAAGTAGAGTTATGAATTGATTACAAACATCATGAACGTCAATATAATGATCTATCTCATTGATGATTGAAACTATGATAAAAACTTGTTGTACAGTTTTTAATTTAAAATATTGTAACATGTTATGGTGATTTGTGTGTGGTTGTTGTGATAGTAACTATTTTTAAACTTGAAGAACAGCTATTAATTAAAAAAATTTAAAATAATACTGGTGTGTGTTATGATAGTAACCTTTTTCGTCAATGATGATGCGTTTCTTGTCGTCTGTCGTTGGCTGCACCATGTACACCTGGAGAAAATTGCAAACAAGAAGTTTAATCAAAAAATAATTAGCTAATAATAATTATTAGTTAATCAAAGAAGACAATACAACTTATTTGTTTTACAATCTCAGCCCACACAAGCATTCCTAATAACATCAAACAAACTTTTGAAATGTTGTTGAATCCTTGTAATGTCAGGTCATTCAACATGTTGGTCTCAATGAGTTTGAGAAAATTGTCGTCTGTCATTTTGTCAGGCTGATCTTCAGCTATCTCTTCCACCTGGTAAAATTTATTTAAAAAAAATAAAAAATAGGTAATCGTATTATCGAAAATAGCGAAATTATACACAAAAATTAATAAAAGAGCTGAAAAGAAGCAAAACAAAACAAAACTTACAATATCTTTGCCATTTGCCTTATTTAACAATCTGATCCTAAGAACCATTTTTTCTGCGTTGTCGTCATTAAAGATGACATTCAATTCCTCGCCGAAACCTTGTTGAGAATGAATTGTTTTTATTTTTGAAAATTTGAAATTTTTCATTCGTTTGATCTTTTCACGATTTTTTAAATATTTTCATTTATTTCATGTTATCTACAACATTATGAAAACAAATAAGCCTAAGCAGCCGTGCAACAAATATATGAACCAATCCACCTGCTGTGATTTTCTCCGCCACCTGCTCCATTGTTAGTTTTCTATCCGTCATTTTCTTCCTATCCAACTCAATTCTCAGCAGCCATGGCGATAGGCGGCTTATGTCGACATCAGGCAGATCGTAATAGATGTCCACCTACCAAAAAGTGTTGATATATTATACTTTGACAATTTGAATAAATAAATTTACGGAAAAATAACTAGTTTAAACAAAATTAAAAGTACAAACCCATTCCTGATCTTCCTGCATAGTTGAATGCTTAATGTCGGGTTCATAGAAAATTGCAGAGCCGGATGCGACTTTGCTCAAAGTCGAATGCTCCAACTGACAGAGAACATCCTGTTGAGAATAATCAAGTTTGTAATACCAGTAATTTATAACAAATTAAACGAAAAATTAACAAAAAAAAGTTTGGTCATAAATAAAATAGCGCTTCTTACTTTTGCTTTCTCAGCATCCTTAGCAACTTGTTCAGTCAGGAAAACAGTCAACGAAGGAGTTTTGGGCTTCTTGGAAACGTTTATAATTTCTTTCAATCTAGGAACACCCAGAGTTACATTTTTCGAGGACACTCCCGCGTAGTGGAAAGTGTTGAGAGTCATCTGAGTGGCAGGTTCGCCGAGGGACTGGGCGGCAAGTGCACCCACCATCTCGCCCGGTTCAACTTGAGCTTGGGTAAACTTCGTCTCGATTTCACCGATGAGCCAATCAAACGCTTCAGAGGAGAGATGAAATTCTTCAATGACCTGTTTGAAGTTAGTTTCGATAGTTTTGGTTAATATTTTTGTTATCGTGTGAACAAATGACAGCATAAATATAAATAACATTAAATAAAACGTATTTGATCGACAAACTAACCTTCTTAGAGCATAGCGTAGATCTCATTAATATATTCATGAGCAGAGTAGCATTAGTATTGGCGGCCTTACTCAGCCTATCCTCTCCCTTCACGATCATGAATTTCTTGCTGAGTTCGCGCACATCTGTGGTCGCGATGATTACAAGTTTGGATAATTAGATTAAATACGAATAATTGAAAATTATTAATTTACAAAATACAGTTTTCCCATCTCCTTTTATTTGTTACTTTCGACTAACCTCTTATAACTTTCAAAGGATTAAGATCTGACTGCCTCCTAGGGCTTACTTTAAAAAGTTTTTGCGCGTTCCAAATCATTCGTTGAAGATTACACGGAAGGACAACCTGTCAAATAATCACAACAATAATTATTTCTGCATTAGTATCTTAAATAATTGGTTTTTGAGTTACTGAATTAAATGTATTATTAAAAGTGTTACCGAAATTTTAAACAAAAAATTCCTACTAACTTTACTGTCTCCGTTTGGAAATATCTGCCTGACTGCCATGCGGTCATCGAGCAGTTGTTCGTACTCCCGTTCGATCTCGAATGAAAAGTTTGCATCACGATGCATATCTCTCAAGACATCTTCATATAAACAGCGCTTCAGTTTCCTGTGGTGAAGTATTGATATTATGTTATTATTTCAAATATATATGTTTCAATCGTACCAATGTAGATATATTTGAGTTTTAAGAAAATGACAAAATATACTGAGGGTGTAATGAAATAATACTTTACAGTATGATACAGTGTATGAAATAATACAGTTTGCTCACTTTTCGTTATTTGGGTCAAATTTAAATTCCCTCTCAAATGCCTTGTCAGACGGTTTGAGAGATGGCAGATTCTGGAACTCCACCCACTCGCCCGCTAAACCATCCTCTCCGTAGCGCAACTGGATGAGCTGCTCAACTTGGTTTCTAACTGTACCGTCGTATTTGACCATCACGCTCTCCATGGCCTTGATGAGACGGCGCTGAATGTAACCTGAAATAATTTAGAGAACGTTAGGAACGCTAGCAATAACGAAAGCCAATTGAACAACGTGAAAGAATTAAAATGTTTTCTCAACTGAAAACCAAACACACTTACCAGTTTCAGCAGTTTTGACAGCGGTATCGATCAATCCTTCTCTACCGCCCATCGCGTGGAAGTAAAATTCAGTAGGCGTGAGTCCGGCCAGGTAAGAATTTTCAACGAAACCTCGACTTTCAGGTCCATAATCGTTTTTGATAAAGTGAGGAAGAGTCCGATCACGGAAACCGAAAGGGATACGTTTGCCCTCTACATTTTGTTGCCCTACACAGGCTATGACCTAAAAGACGTGGAAAGAGAATAGTAATAACCGGACAATCAGATATTTAAAAATATCAAAAAATAATTAATTGATTGGTTATTCAACTTACTTGTGAAATATTGATCTTGTTTCCCTTTGATCCAGCAACTACCATTGATTTAAAATTGTTAAGCTCTGATAAAGATTTCTGAGCCAAACTGCCTGTTTTGTCTCTTGCGTCATTTAAGATACGATTGACCTAAAATTGTAAAAATGATGTTGTATATATTAGCAAATTTTTAAAATCATAGATATTAATGAGAATTAGACGCAACGTATACAATTTAATTTAAATTGTACTAACCTGATTTTCAAAGGTTTGTTTGAGACTGTTACCTGGAGTTGGTTCCAGTTCACCAATGTATGTTTTTTCAGTGACAGCAGCTACATCAGCCTATTTGTAAGTTATTTTAAAAAAAGTTATATTGCTTGTTTATATATTTGAGTGTGCGTGGCGAGGTTTTGAAGCGGGCTTATTGACAAATATGGAAATAAAGTTATTTTTATCTAATAATTAGTGAATAAGAAGTAATTCACTTACTTTGGCTGCCATAATAGCTGATTGGATATCCGCATATGTTTTAGAGTCTGCAATTGTGTCTGCTATACCAATGCTGTGTCCCTCAACAAGAAGCCATTGATTGGTGACCATTTGAACGTGCGAGTAAAAATCTGCTGTTGCTTCGTGACCCTATATCAAATTTTTTTTAGTAAAATAAGTCAAGTAACCATTTCAACGGAAATATGACATTCATAACATAGTTTCAAACAAAACAATCACAGCTGCATGAAACATTTTTTGTTAACTTACCAATTCGTGGTAAATAATATGCTGAAGTGATCCAGAACTAGGTCCAAGTGATTTCTTGCACAGAATTCCACTAAGTAGTTGTCCATTCTCAACCAATACTTTCGTATCCCCGGGTGAGATCCATTTGTACGGTCCCCTGTCTTCATTGTCGGGATGCGTGCTGTGAGTACGTATGCAGTTTATCTGGCCGGGAATTATGAGGGAGAAAAGTTGCTTGCCGGTCCAGAGGGGTTCGGGTCTCACAATCGCCGGTTGAGGCATTTTTCCGTTCCAGTGTGGTATGTACATGAGAAGGTTCATCATGTCTTCCTGTTATTGTTTTAAATTGATTTTGTTAGATGAACAATATGTATGTATTAATAAATCACCCAGTTCAATCACTAAATCAAAAATAAATCCCCAAACCATACAGCCAAATATTAAACAAACCTTGCTAATAAATGAATCTCTTCTAGTCATTTTATTAACAGCGGTCAGGGAATCTTGTACAATACCCATAACAGGTCTGTTGGCTTGTGGAGTTATGATCATCCTTGTAACTGATGCCAGCTGACTGATCTCTGCCCTTGTTTCCAGAGACTGAGCAAGGTGGAGGTTCATTTCGTCGCCATCAAAATCGGCATTGTATGGGGTTGTGACACTGTTTTGTAAGGTGAAGAAAAAATTACAGAATGAAAAAAATATTTAAAAAAAAACTTTATATTGTTATTGTATAAACAAATGAAGTTTACTATTACAAACCTGAGGTTTAGTCTAAATGTGGAATAAGGCAATACTTTGACCTTGTGACACATCATGGACATCTTGTGCAATGTGGGCTGACGATTGAAGATCACGTAATCGTCGTCTTGCATTTGACGCTCAACCGTGTCCCCAATTTGAAGATGTAGATCAGATGGTTTAGGATGATATCTTAGATCAACGCGAACATTATTCTCCTTAATTATGTACTTAGCTCCAGGGTACTGGTTGGGCCCTCTGTGCACCAGGTGAGTCAACCTATCAATGTTGAAGGGGGTGACCAGCTCTGGATAGGTGAGGTTTGCGGCAATTGATCTGGGAACGCCAACCTGTTGAAAACAATTAATTTTTGGATTAAATTTATAAAATTACGTACATTGCATTCAAAATAAGTGGATATTTTTTGTTCGTAGCAGTAAATAACAATGACGTACTTGATCAATCTTCAACATGGGGTCTGGTGTAATAACTGTCCTCGCCGAAAAATCAACTCTCTTTCCCATGAGGTTGCCACGGACACGACCTTCCTTGCCCTTCAAACGCTGTTTGATTGATTTCAACGGACGACCATTTTTCTGAGTGGCCTGTTTCGCAGTTGAAAATAATCGTTTTAAGTGCAATATGTGATGGCATATTGAAATTATAATCAATTTAACGCTCGCAGTAATGAAAATAATAAATATTTAAATAAATTGTACACTTGAGAACAATTTAAACAAACCCTAGGTAGTCCGGGCATTTCGTTGTCAATCATGGTAGCCACATGATACTGAAGCATTTTAATGTTTTCAGCTAAAATGTGAGCCGCAGCTCCTTGCTCTTCGTTGCGCTTCAATTGGTTGTTGATCTTTATAATGTCGCCCAGTTTGTGTGTTATGTCATCCTATATTTGTTATACATTCAATTAAAAACGTATTATAAAAAGTAATTGCTTACAGATTTATTAGTACATTGAATTTTAAAATTCTTCCTTATTGAGCACTAGTTTATTAAAAGACAAATAGCTTATAACCAGTACATATATTTGAATAAATAATAATATCATTATTATTATCATTCATCGAGTTAGCTCAGTCTGTAGAACCGCCATATCTCGCGCATCCATTGGTCGTTTATTTTAATTAAAATTATAAAAAGCAATATTTTACAGAGTAGTTGGTACTTTTTTTATTTTTAAATTGTTATAATTTAAAAATTATGGATCCTACAATTTTCTGCAAATAGCTAACCTGACTCCTAGCTGATCCGAACATGAGGACAGACGGTCTAACAGGCAGTGGAGGCACTGGCAAGATGGTCGCAATCATCCAATCAGGTCGTACGTACCTGGCGTCCATTCCTAAATACGTGCACGTCTCGTCAGTGATCGCGCTGAAAATCTCATGAACGCGTTCGGCTGTCAGCACAATCTGTTTAGTTGGAAAAAATCATTTAAAAATGGTTTTTTGTAGAGTGTATCAATAATATAAAAAAATTGAATAGAAACCATTTTTTCTTGCTGCTGGTCATTTAAGACCTTCCACTCTGCAGTCAGTTCCAAACCCGTCCTTTTTATTTTCGGTTGATGAAATCCACAACCTGTCTATAATTATGCGATTGTTATTATTGAGTGTTACGACTGATTAATATATTTATTTATGAATTATCGTTCAAAATAGTTTTATTTGTTCTAGAAATAAAAAGATCAACAACATATTACAACAGAACAGAACAACAGAAACTACAAAGGTAAAGTTAAAATTAAGTCAACTAAATCAACATAACGATAACAACCACACAAATCTACCGACATCAGCATTATTAGCAAGCAGATGCAAATCAAAAAGCATAAAAAACGGACTGTCTGAAAATTTGTCGACATGCGGTTTAATTATATCCAATTACGTATTTATCAGTACTAAATGAAAAATACGTGAAAACACTAAAAATCAGTTAATGTAATTGTTTTCCTCAATAAAATTATAATTTTATGTTTGAAAGTAAACAGAAGTTTGCATATAACTGGCAGTCATTTTATTATTAGAAAATATTGCTTGTTGCACATGGTTACGCAAATTAAATTTAATTATCCTTGTTTATTTATTTTATTTTTAATAAAATTTTATTAATAACTATATTACTTACCGATCATTGTTAGCTTTTATGACTATGTTGATTATGTTAGCAGTTCGTATATGTATACCATTTGCTCATACATGTATATGTATTTAAATTTTATTCAAATTTAAATAAATATTTTTTCTTCGCCTTCTTTAATAATAATATTATTATTTTTAATGTCATTTGTTGTTATTATTATTGTTTTTATTATTATACCTAGCCAGAAAATTTCAGCTGGCTAGATAACACGGCAACGTGAGAGAAAGACAAGTAAAGAAATAGAAAGAATACAAATAGCAACCAATCATATTTTTAAAATCATTTATAAAGGTTAAAGGTTACTCTCTCTCTCTCTCTTGCGTTTGCTTCAGAGGTTTCAACGACAAACACACATAGCGTACATGAATACGCGTGCAAACCACGCATCATACACATTGCGTATGATGATAGGCTGGGATATCTTTGTATTCGAACCCAGTCATTGTAATAGCAAGGCCAAGCGCCTTTAACCATTGAGCCATCACGCCGCCCGATAATTAAAATTATAATATCACCACGTTGTATGTTAATTAGCATATTGCGCTAAGGGTCATTAGCATATGTGCTGCTAGCAGATTTCTGCCAGGGAATAATTAGCATATGTGCTGTTAGAGAATCATTAGCATATTGCGTCCATGTTCTACTAAGCAATAGGAGTCCACCTTTGATACACATATGCAATAATACATACCCCCTTGGTGCATGTATTATTATACAAAATAGAAGTGTGAAAATAATTATGGCAATGCTAACAATAACAGCGTCTGTTTCTTCTTCTCCTTCCTTCCTGGCTCTATCTCCACCAGCTGATTCACAAATGGTCTTCACCTTGCAGAGATCGTACACCAGGTTCTGTCTGCGACGAAAGTCCGTTTTAGTTTTGCCTAATATTTCCTTCATTTTTGGGGATTCCTGGAAGAACAAATTTAAAAAACGATCAATATAATAATTAATTTTGGAATTTCAATTAATAAAATATTCATACAATATAAAATCTTTTTGACACAAATACTTACCGGATCAACGAGCAATCTGGAACAGTTGAAGCAAACACATCTCATAACTTTAATGATCTTCGGCAAGAATACTGCATGGAAAACTGGTCTCGAGAGAACAATATGTCCGAAATGACCCGGACATTCCGCCATGTTCCCCCCACACGTCAAGCATCTGCTTGTTCTGTCAACTACGCCTTGACGCGGATCCATCAATCCGCCTATCTTGGGATGCCCCCCTTCTACAGTTTCGGGATATTTTATCCCGCCATCATCCGTAACGGACATTTGAAGCTGAAATTAGTTAAAACGAGTATTACTTCAAATATTTTAAATAGATATTTTGAAAAAATTAGAAACATATGAAATATATATGCGAAATGTAATTTGATTCAACTTAATGATTGATATAAATTTGCAACAAAATAAAACAAATGTTTAAAACAAGTAAAAAGCTTTCAACATTAAAACATAATAATATTTTAGCGATTAATGTGAAATGACAACGAAAGAACAACGAATTAAAAATCGAAAATTATAATATTTCAAACAATTTCATGCGGACTCAGAATTCCAAACTGCATTCTCTGAACATCTCTCTTCGGAGCAACTGTATCGTGGTAAGCCATTTTAAATTTTCGGGATTGATTTTTACCAAAACTCTTTCGGATAAAGGAGTCAAAAAATGCTTTCGTACTAGGAACACGTGGGTTGGGTTTATATACACAGAGAAAGATAAAATGATACTATATCGTAAAAGATACTACATCGTAAACTATGATCATAAAATAATCTTTGGTTAATTATTGTCGTTTTCTTCAATGACTATTGTGTGGTGAGTTATTTATGCAACCATTTTGATAAGTGCATATATATATTTATTTGCATATATATTTCACAGATATATTTTTTAATTTGATATTAGGTTCGATGCGCAAATTTATTTATTTTGTATAAAACTTTTAGCGGTTGCACAAACACATGTTATATGACCAGGACTTCTAAATGATTCTTCCAGATCAGGCTTGATGCCCGGACTCTCTAAATTTGAAGTTGATTGTACGAAATTTATTTTGGAATTAAAGAAATTGATTGATTGAAATAGTTTTTTATTCTATTATTTTTGATGTCAATTTAAACAGTATGCGCGCGTGTGTGTGTATGCGCGCGCGTGTGCGTATTACATAAATTTGAAAATGATAAAATCATCGAAATCACACAAAAAATTTTAAAGATTAAACCATTATCATAGGCTTTCACACTTGAAGTTGCAATATGGAAAAACAAATTTAACTGCGATAATAATTCTTTCAGTTTCATACCTTTCCAAACATTGAACTAATGAATAAACTTTAAGAAGCTGAACTAGAAACAACGAGTCGATGTTTATTTTTTCAAGTTCGTCTATCACACTTGGAAAGCTTCATACATTCAAAACACAAGAATAAGAGTGTCAAAGAACATCGGACAAACAAGGAATAAAAAAATTCGCAACTTTTTAACACCAACGAAATTTCAAGTTAAAAATAATGTTGGCGTTCAATGAAACTGCCTTTAACGCGCGTTGTCCCTTTAATTTTCTTTTATATTATTCTCGTTAGAGTCCGGTGGGTTGTTTATATTCTTATTCATAGGCGTTTTCATGTTTATGAAAGTGATAACATTAAAAACAAAATTTATTTCCTGATTATGACTCAAAATCCTGAAAATATTTGTATAAATGGACACATTAAATGATAATCATATAGAAAGAGAAATTTGTAGATGTGACGCTTACTTAGAATTCTATTAAAAAAAACAATGTGTCCAATTCGGGCCATAGTCAACCGTCCACTTCATTTAGACTCTGAGTCGATACCAAATAACCCGACTTTGAAACTTTGTGGCCTTACCAGATGAAGATCAGAGTGTGGTCATTTAACAACAACAATGTCAAGTGATATCCATTCCATTAAATGACCACACATAATGAAGATGGCGTTGGTATTAGTTTACGTTCATAATCTAAATTGATAGCGCTTTAAATTGAAATCTTATTTTAATAGGCGCCATATAAATTCTTCAATAATGATAATTTATATGAATATATAATGTATATATAAAACTTCGTTGATTTGTGATATTAATTTTAAATATTATAAAATTGGAGTCATATCTTGAGATAAGAATAAATAAGAGCCGTGATTACGTAAGCATGTTGAAGATTGAAGCTACACGACACATGTAAAATAATCTCTTTCTCTCTCTCTCTTATTACATCTCTTTATCTCTCTCTCTCTCTCTCTCTTATTGGTATTTTGTTATTGAAATATCTCTTGACATTGTTTTATTATATCTTGTTTTATTAGAACTTATATTATGATCAGTTCTTATAACATTCTATTTCTGTACCTAAAATCAAACCTTACAACACCCGATGTCTATAACATAACTATTTTGCCTAAAGTCCACGCGTCTTAATAAATGTTTAAAATTTATTTTTATTTATTTTTAGCAGCCGCTTCTTTTCCAGAAATGGTCATTAGATTATTTTTTAATGTCGTTTTGTTGTGCAAAATATTCTACCTGAAGTTTTCTGTTTTTATTTTTAAGTTCGTTTCATAACATGGTTTCTTTATTATTTCTATTTAATTCCAATTCCTGTATGTTTAGAACGTTGAAAGGTGTTAAGTTAAACAGTTATCTTGTATCAATTGCAGATTATATAACATTTTCAATACTATAGTTACATGCACACATACACAAAAAAAATGTAAAGAAGTTGTAAACTTTTTCACCAAACTAATAATTATGGTAACAATTGAATGAATTATTTCTACGGGAGATTGTAAAGTTAAACCCTTTACATTCTTAAATACCTCCTCTCTTTATAGCTATCACGTGAGAACACGTGCTTCTACGGACTAAATATATTCAACACGTGCTTGTCATTTTTGATTTGATAATTGATCATCATAAACATGAATAATCATAAACAACGGACGTTAATTTTCATTAACATAAATTTTATAACATTTTATTTATATAAATTAATTGTAGAAAACACAGATAATTATTGAAAAGCGAAGATGAAAGATTGGACGACAGCACCGTCACCTCAACGTTTTACGATCTTTAGGTTTCGTTTCAGGTTTCGTTTCAGGTTTCGTTTCAGGTTTCGTTTCAGGTTTCGTTTTTGTTTTTATAAAAACAAAAATGACAACGTGATAGCTATGGAGTGATGATGTATTTAAAAATGTAAAGGGTTTAACTTTACAACCCCGCGTAGAAATAATTAATTCAATTGTTACCATAATTATTAGTTTGATGAAGAAGTTTAAAATTTTTGTACATTTTTTTGTGTATGTGAGCATGTAACTATGGTATTGATAATGTTATATATTCTGCAATTGATACAAGATAACTGTTTAACTTAACACCTTTCAACGTTCTAAACATACAGGAAATTAGACACGAAACTGGAATTAACATAAATTTTATTATATTTTATTCATATAAACTAATTTTCGAAAACATAGACAATTCTTAAAAACGATGATAAAATATTAAACGACAGCACCATCGCCTAAACGTTTTACGATCTTAAGGTTTCGTTTTTGTAGTGAAATCTTGCTCGTCCGGCATTTTTGAGTTGAAATTTAGAAATAAACCGTTGTAGGTTTATTCATTTTTGTGATGGACTCTTTGGTTTACATTCTGGAGCTATAAAGTTAAAGTGTGTTTGTTTGAACAAAATTACTTGAATTTGAAATTTACCTATTTTAGATATACAAAATGAAAATGTTGTTCATTGTTTTAAAAAGATTTTTGTTTCTTTAAAACAGATAATTCTTGTTCAAGTTGTTTCAAAAGTTGAGTTGAGATAGAAGAACTTAAGTGTAATGCCTGAAACCTTGAAAATAATGAAACTAATAAAAAATTATGAATGCCAAATAGCAAAGCACATATGAATGAACATATAGACTCACAAACACGGACAAGCATACAAACAGATCACCGCAATAATCAACACACACACACATACAAACACACATACAAACACACACACATACAAACACACATACAAACACACACACACACACATCGCCACAAACTCACACACGAGCCATACACAAAGCATGCAAGCAGCTTCAAGTTGGGGTATTGATTAATTCGCCATTGAGGCTTTCGTTGTTTGTGTTTGCCACGGTTGTGTTATATATATATATATATATTTATTTATGTATATATGTAATATATATATATTATACGCATAAATACTTAACCATATATACCATATATAATATAAAAAGCAGTTGCGTATAGTTTATATACATAGTTGTATATATGTTATAAGCATTAAATGTATGTATTGTATGTATGCGTGATATATATATATATATATATATATATATATATATATATATATATATATATATATAATATTTATATATAATTGTATGGGATTGCGTAGTACGTAGTATTTTAATGCATGCGTTAATATCAAATTAAGCGTAAATGATTATTTGAATACGCCCATTTCTATCTATATTCGCATGTTTCATGTTTAGTAGTCCATTCAGTTGATGCGAATTAAACTTGTCCTGACATGGTAGAAGATTGAGAATATGGGTTATTAAATTAGCAATGCTGTAGTAGTGTTGCCTGGATAATAACTATGTGAATGCCTGCTGCAATCAGCAAATATTAAATAAAGATAACAAGTCGCTTACTTCTTTTATTTTCTTGATATATATATAAATTTTCCCACATGTAAATATAAAAATAATCCTTCAATTCTCTCTTTTTTACATATAAAGTATTTTTATGGGGCACCTTAATATAAGCAGTTAATAATTTTTAATAAAAATTTTCGAATGGATACGTACATGGATGGATAACATATCATTGATCACAGATTTTATCATCTTCATCTTTGCCATTCTCGTCAGCTCTTTTCCAATTGTAGCTTCTAAACCAAATGGTTAGTACATTGTTTTTGTTTGATATTTTTGTCCATTGGACAGTTGATGGTTTTGTTTACAGCTCAGAAACAATAAAATTGTTTTAATCAGTAGCACATTGACTCAGCTCGTGATATTCTGTCAAAAATCATTTTTCAAAGTCCAATCGCTCAGCTATGAGATTAACGTACAAATAAATAGTAGGCATTAAGATGATCAGAAGTGAATAACGTTAACAATAAACTTTATATTAAAATATCTGAATAAAAGCAGTAAAGTATTGAAAGAGAACTAGCCAGTTTCAGTAACATTTCCACTAAAATTTTCAAAAACGCATCTATCTGAAGTCAACTTCACGACTACTATTGAAATTGGCAAACATAAATTACCAAACCCGCAGAGGTTAGAGATTATTGCCAGGGCGAAGTTTTCAGAACCAACTGCTCGAGCGATGAGGTGGTCATAATGAGAAGCGCCGTGTACGGCAGAATGAGGAAAGCCAGATGTGTGAACATCAACATGGGCTACATGGGCTGCCAGGCTGATGTCATCGATCTTGCTGACGTCAAATGTTCTGGGCGGAGGAGCTGCGAGATTACAGTGCCTGATGTGGCCTTCGAATCAAAGGAGCCCTGTCTCGATCTCAAGTCCTATCTCGAGGCTTCGTACGAGTGCAAAAAGGGTGAGAGTGGTTGAATGTCTGCTGAGTTGGAGTCAATTGATAGGATTTTTGTTATTTTTTATTAAAAATTATTGTAATAAAATTATGCATAATCGTTTTTACCAAAAAAATATTTTTATAAGTTTTCATTAAAAACCCTCAAAAATTGTGTTCGATTACATGAATCTAAGAAGAAGTCAAAACTTCCAGAGCTTCTAAAATAACCTTTCAATCAAGATATATTTTCAACGTTTCACATGAAACTAATAAAAAACACGTCAACAACACATAAACATTCAAACAAGTGATTTGAAAAATGTTCAGTGAATTGTAACTCACAAACCACCTTCGCCAGTGATTGCCGTCAACAACAACGACTGCATGAACAATCGACCCTTGGAGACAACGACGACCACAGGAAGCATCGCCAGTGTCACAGCTGCAGAAATGTATTGCGGCATTCGCTCAAGTCCCTGGCTCATTCATGGGTTAAAAGGTCAACAGATCAACTTAACCCTAGTTGATTTTAGTTCTCCGCGAATAAATATATCACACCATCTGCCAAAAATTCTCACAACTCGCACAGCGCGACGAGATATCTAGATGTCAACTGCCAGAAATATGCAACCATCGAGGAGAAAGGTAACGGCGTATTTCAAGATAGGGTTGTTCCTGTGTGCGGTCACAAGTTGCGCTATCAAGAACTCTACACCTCCCGGGGGCACGTTGTCCAACTGAGCCTTGAGGCCCGGCGGGTCAACCCGGATCATTTCCTCATCAATTATGAGAGTAGGTGTTGCTTGTGTTTCAGGGCATTTTCACAAGCGTGAATATTTCAAGTAATTGTTATCTCATCATATCAATATTCTGACTTGAACATATCAAGTTTTTACTATTAGTATTTATAAGTTCACAGAAAAAATTAGGATCCATTTTCATAGATTTAAATTTAAATTTATAAATCAGTGTTTTTAGAAAATATTCATCTAACATAAACTCATATAAATTTACTTTCAAAGTTCATTTTGCACCAACATAGAGCTGAAGTTTCTAAACTTTATTTCCCACAAAACTAAGTATTCGGCTGCGCCGATCCGACGCTTTCGGTTCATTCCTGGTTCAAGAAGGAGTCTCCGAACAAAGCCACCATCAGGTGCAAACCGACCGACGAAAAGTGGGAGGTCACGTGCCAGGGTGGAGTTTGGGTGGGGGCGTATTCTAATTGTTCTGATGGTATGTTCATTCCATATCTGTTCGATGTTGTTTGTTCATTCAGAGTTAATAAAAATGTATGCAATTATTTATTCTAAATAACGTTTTTGCTTTAGTTTTGGATTTTTCAGAAATATTTTTACACCAGTTAACCAAAAACTTGAAAAACCCATCTTTCGTTGTTTGACTGCTACAATTCTTGCGCCCCTCCTGATGCATTCTTTCTATACGCAAGCATGTGTGCAAGCTGAATGTTTGTGAAAATTGATTTCAAGCAGTTCCAACTTCGTACAGATGCACAATACGCTAAATATGAAATATTTACGCATTGGTTTTATTTAAAAATTGTTGATATATTAAGTAGAGCGAGTATAGAAAAACAAAGAAGTATTCTTTAGCCTGCTTTCATTTCTTCTACGCTTTTGTGGCACGACTCATCATTGCTGATACAACGTTTTTAAATTGTAATTGGCAGTTTGAAAAATTTTTTTCAAAAAATAAATTGAATTTTTGTATTATTTCGAAGTCATGATCGGTGAGAACATGGGAAGAGCTTCAATGGAAGATCCAACAGTTGGAAGTAATTAGCTGATGTTCTAAGAAATATGTCATACAAATTTTTAATCATTCATTTCAATTTGAAATCTTTGAATAACTCTTGTTTGGTGAATAATTTCATTTTTTTTTTCAAAAAATTGTTGTTTAATTATCATGTTTGGATACAGAAATGAGAGTTGCAATATAAATATATTAAAAATGATCTATCGGGCTTACACAATAAAGATTTTCAACAATTATTGTTGCTGTGACAGTGCTAATATAAAATAAAATTAAGATCTATATAGCTTCAAACAAATCTGCCCAAAGAAATCATTTAAAAAAGTTAAAAATTCCAAATTTTTCATAAAATATATCTTCAGGAAATTTTTATTTTTGTGATATTTTTTTCGCTTTAGGAAATGTCCTGATAACGATCAGTGTCCTCTTATTGATTTTCGTGGCATTCATCATCATCGTCGTCGTAGTTGTTTGTCGCAGGTACGATGTCGTTGTTATTTTCCATTTTCAAATCATGAAAGTGTAAAGGAATAGGAATTTCATAAGAACTCAAAAAACATTTTCCAACAAAAAACATAAAAAAACCAATTTACTATTAATATCATCACTAAATATGGTTATACTAATCTACGTCCTCCCTGCTTAATGATTTTTCTAAATATTTCAATTTTCATTCGTGTACAATTTTCCAGGTACAACTACCATCATCATCCCCATCATCACCACCATCATCACCAATGTGACTATCCGACACCTGTATCGTTGAAAAGCAAGAGCAGTTTGTACGGAGCCTCGGAAGACGATTTGGACCACCATCACCACCACCACCATCAGCAGCAGCAGCAGCACCACTCGTCATCATCCTCTTACAACGCACGCAGCTTGAGGTACGGCCATCACCACGCGCATCACCATTCGCAACAGTCGCAGCAATACGAAAAGAGTCGTCGATCGGAGTCGCCGTGCTCGCGCGGTGGCTACAGCGATTACAGTGCAGCGAACTACGAGAAGATGGATGACGACCTGGAGGAGTCGCCTCCCCTACCACCGCTGCCTATCAAAACAAAAACGTCCGCGAAAACATCTGCAGTCAATTTGATCACATCTACGGGAGAAAAGGTCACCCACATCTGGGAGATGCCACTGCCTGTGCCTGGGAAATAGATGGTTGTCTTGTTTAGTTATCTGTTTAAATTTTATCTACGGTTGTCCGTCTGTCTGTCTATTACTAATCAATTCGTCTGTCTGCATCATGTCTGTCTAGATTATTTGTGCTGCACGTTGTGTTTTTCTTCATTGTTTTGGAAAATGTATAATTACTCAATACTTCAAATCAACTTATTTGTTCGCATGATACCCATTTTGGACAATTTCTTTAATTGATGAGTAAAATTATTTTAATATGCAATATTTTTTACTACCCTGTGTTTCCTTTTTTTCTTGGTTCTTTTGTCACCTCAGGTTTTTTAATTCTTGATTTATACCCAAGTGTAGTCAATTTTTCCTGACTAAAGAAGCAAAATTTTTGTAAATCTTTCTTACTGCATCACGACTACGACTAACGTGTCATCATGTCTGTATTATTTTTTGTAAATATGGAATTCCTATGAAAAAAATCTCAAAAATTGACCTCCAAACAATTAACAACATCATGATGGGTTTAACTTATTTCTCTGAAAAAAATCCACTTCTAAATTTGTTGCAGTAGTTTGGTTTGATATAGTGCAGAGTTGGGAGCATGGACTGTTAACGTTAGGATTAGGATCACAATTTTTACATCTCTAGAATGTAAATTTCTTCCTAGCTTGAGTTTCTTTTCTGTTAAAATTTTTTAAAATTATTACGTTTTGTAAAAATAAAAAAAACTTTCTGTTAGATTTTATGTAAGTGTAATTTTCCTATCAGCCAATTTATCAAAAACGATTTTTGCTTATTCAGATGCTAATCTGTATGTTTGTTTAGCGTGAATTACATACTGTAAAGAATAAAATAATCAGTATATATATATATATATATATATATATATACATGTAGATATATGTATATATGAATTTATTTATTTACAGATGTGTTTGTTTATGTTTGAATATGTAACAATCTTTTCAAGGAACACAAAATCAACACAACTTTATACAGTTTTTTAAACACATTTTCATTTCAAGTTATTTTTGATTCGCAGCCTTTTTAGCAATTTCGTTTTAATAGCTATGCTATGAATGTCAATGATTTGTAAAGGAAGTTCCTTGTTGTAAATAATCGAAAATATAAAATAAATGTAGTAATAAACGTTTAAAATGAATTAAGTGCTAATTATCCTTATTAAATAGAAACTTTTATAAATCTTTTTTTTTTGTAAATTCGTTTTAACAGTTTAAAAGACGCACATTTTTCAAATACATAATGTCAGTATGGCGATCTGGCAATACATACGTGTTATTTAAACTAAATTAAATAATTTTTTATGTAAGATTTCGAAATTGAAAATTTAACAAAAAAAAAAATGTAATAAAAAGGTGAAGTATGTACAATTTAGTAAAAAATATTATGGTCATAATATTGTCGCGAACTTTGTTGGTGTTGACGGTGTTGTAAAGCTGATTGATGTTCACGCAATTATTGTAGTTCTTAACAATTGTAGTAGTGTGAAAATTAATGTATCGGATGTCATGGACTACTTGTTAACGCTAAGCTGACGACAGTTCAACAAATGCTGGTTTTTAACATCAGTGCAATTATGGTTAACATTAATGAAAACAATTGATCGCGACAATTGAGATAATAATTTTAATACAGGTACTAATGATGGTGTTTAAGATGATAAAAGTGACGTGAATGATGATAATAATGATGATGACGACGACGACGATGATGGTAACAACAGTCTTAAAATGATGCGAGTAAAATTAAAAATGAGACGCTGAAAATGTCCAAAATGTGGATCGACGAGGTTCGTAGAAATTGATGGATATTATGTTTGGAAGGCAGTTTAAATCGTCAGTTCAATTGGTGTAATGGTCAAATGATCCTAAGTACTCTAACGCGGCACGGTAGCAGAAAGAATATTGCTCCTGGCGAAGAATAAAAAATTCTCAAAAATTATAAGTGTAAATTATTTACGATTTTAGTATATTGGTATATCTGATTATTTTGCAGACATCCTCGTTATAAATGGGGTTTATTGACATTAAAACAAAATGAAACAAACTATTACGACTGAAAATAAATGCAAATAATAAAAAATATTAATTTTTTAATTTTAAATAAATAAAAAAAAAATTTATCGGCACACCCCTGTTTGAACAAGTCCAGGTCTTTGCGTCCTGAGAATGTTGACAGTTTGAAACATGTCGACCACCCCTTCAAATCTCATCCTCTCTAGAACAATACTCAACGTTATGAAGACTCCTGTTCTACCCACTCCTGAACTGTTGTGTTAAAGGTTAAAAGATAAAAGGTCATTCCATGCCTGAACTGTGACGTTTAATAAAAGGTTGAAAATCATTCCAAGCCTGAACCGTTGCGTTAAAGGTTAAAAGGTTAAAAGTCATTCTCTATTTTTTGCAGGTAAGACTTTATACACACATATAGCGCGAGTTTAAATGATATTATAAATTTTGAAAATGAAAAAAATATAGATAATACGTCATTTTAAAAAATAACCCAACAAACCGGCCAACTAACTAAAAACATCAACCAACCAGCCAACCAACCAACCAACCAACCAGACAAGCAGCCAACCAACCAACCAACCAGCCAGTCAGCCAACAAACCAATCAGCTAAACAACCAACCAGCCCGTCAGTTAACCAGCCAACCAACTAACCAACCAACCAACTAAAAAACCAACCTGCAGTGGACAGCAATGGGTCCTTCCTGACCAAACTGCTCTTTGGTTTTGTGAACTTGCCCAATAAATTCAATGAAACCATCCCCTGTTGGAGGCACACCATACTCCGGCCAATCTGTCAGTTGGAACTGTCGAACCGTCCTGGATTGTCCGTCCTACGTATTTTTGTGGGCTCACATTTAACGAACAAATAAATCACAACAGAACGTAGTAGATGTAAAAGCAAAAATAAAAGTAGTAAAAGAAGAAGATGAGAGGTGAGAGTAATTATAAGGTTAATAAAACAAAATGGCGCAGTTGTAATGAAAAGTTGATAGATCTGAGGACAGTACCTGGATTAATTAAACCTTATAAGAGAGTTTTTCTCATGGATGAATGAAAGAATGAATGGATGAATGAATGAATGAATGAATGAATAAATGAATGAATGAATGGATGAATGGATGAATGGATGAATGAATGAATGAATGAATGAATGAATGAATGAATGAATGAATAAATAAATGAATGAATGAATGAATGAATGAATGAATGGATGAATGAATGAATGAATGAATGAATGAATGAATGAATGAATGAATGAATGAATGGATGAATGAATGAATGGATGAATGAATGAATGAATGAACGAACGGACGAACGAATAAACAAACGAACGAATGAACAAACGAACAAATGAACGCTAACCCGCGCATCAGTAACTTTAAATTCTCTCAAAATGTACTGTGGCATGTTGTACTCAGCGAGCGGATCGACGACAAAGTACTGATACCTGGCTGACCTCTCGTTTGGCCAGTACTGATGGCACTTCTCCTGTAAAAATTTCCAAATTAATTATAAAAAAAAACTAAAATAAAACTTGAATTTGTTTAGAAAGTTGGTATTGGTAAGTGATGTTAATGAAATGTGGTTAATAAATGAGAATATTTTTTATAGAAATAATTAACTTTTGTCTAAGTTTTTTTTTGGAAAAAGACATTTAATTTATGTAATCTCTATTGATATGGGCTTAGGAACGTTTAAGTTTTACCCGATGTTTTTTCTTTTTAATAATAATAATAATTATTATAATTATAATAATAAATAACAATATTTACACCTAGAATAATAATTATTTAAACCATTCTAATCTTACCCTTCCCTGCTCTTTCAATTTAGTCAACATGACGATGATGTTGCAGTTGCATTCCCACATTGCTCGCCAGAAATCTTCAACAGTCTCCGCGAGAGGACCTTGTGTTGCTATGTAGGCTTTTCTGTATCTGTACCCCTAAAAATTCGTTCATATAAATTTTATTTGTTTGTTTGTGTTTGTTCATTTGTTTGTTTGATGAGGTTGTACAAGGGTAAAAGTGCGTGAAATTGTTAAACTATTATTATTACCATTATTATTATTATTATTATTATTATTATTGTCAGTAGTAGTAGTAGTGTTTTTGTATTTTTATTATCATTCTTATTAATATTTGAGCATTTATACATAGCGTCCTTATACATATGTTCAAAGATGAATTTTAGCTAACGTCTATGAAGTTTGCGTTAATGTAATCCGACCCATCTACCCCTCTTATAGGCTGCAAGCACACTCTTGTTGACTCGACTGTAAATTATGAATTATAAAAAATTTTTATATAATTATAAAAAACATAATAATTATAACTTCATAACGAACTAAAATTGTTTTCAATAATTTTTTTTAATTCTTTCACAGAGAATAACTGATTAAATGAGGCTTGCAAAATAAAACAACTCTGTTTCGCACTCTTAGCATAAATGTGTGAAAGACAAATTTGTAACTTGTGTCAACCGGTCATTTTATTTTGCTTACAATGTGATAACTGCATCTACATATACAATGACCAACAATTTTTTTTTCTGATCTAAATATGAAAAAAAATATGATCCAAATTCTAGAAAGTAGTATGTTGTCTAGATTACAACATTCATTGCTGAAGTAGCCCTTAGTTTGGTGCATGTTCTTACTATATAGAATTATGAAAATTATGAATTAAAATTATAAGAAACGGTGATAAAAAATGTTGTTCACAAATTGTAACTAACGCGGTAACACATTGACCAATCTGTTTTTGTGTTTGTTGCATGACTGATTGGCACTGGCAAACGACAGGGTGGTATTTTTTCCACTGGACAGTTTCTGATTCATTCAATTTTTTTTCAAATATTTTCTGAGAACTTATGTTAAAGAAACAAAAGTTAGGAATAAACTGCTAATAAATTAACATAAACAATTACAGAATTTATAAACTGTTGAAACACATCAATGGAACAATTAAAAATGTAGTTGAGTTTTAAAGGGTTTGAGTTGATGGCCAATAAACTACTAGCTACGAATGAATATATCAATTGATACATCCAGAAAACACGGAAAGTTTAACAACAAAACGCGCCTTGAACTCTGCCTCCATGCCGCTGATGGTAGAAGAAGACGCGGAGAATTGGTTGGCAGGCTCCATAAGCGACTGAATATGAGCAAAGAGATTCCTGGCAGGTACTTCGGTGTTGCCGCAAGTGACCGCTTCTAAAATGGCTGTATGTATGAATACGTACTGATCTTCTGTCTGGACCATGTAGTTTCGTTGAGACCTTAAGCATGTTACATGTCCGTAGATGTCTACGGTTCCTGAATGTTTTATTCTTTCTAGCATGGCGTCTAGTACGATGTAGACTCCCGTTCTTCCGACTCCGGCGCTAAAAAAAGGTGGAAATATAGAATTATGCAAAAATACAAAGTTTTAATGAAATTATATGTGATTGAAATAAATTAAAAAAAAGTTTCTTTTTCACTCTGTTTCATAATTAACAACTCAATATAAAATATAATCTTGTTCTAACTGAAAAATTGCTAAACAGTGATTCAACTGTTATGTCAACAAATTGAAAACCATTTGAAGAGACTAAATGGATATAGGAATTTAAGAAAAATCCCAACCTGCAGTGCACAATTACTGGACCTGACCCATTCAATGTCATGAATTTAACTCTCTTCATGAAGAGTAGAAGTGGTGCAGGGTGGCTTGGTACTCCGTAGTCTGGCCAGGCCGTGAACTGAAAGTGCTTAACTTCACGTTTCTCTGGTGTGAATTCCTAGTTTGGATGTTTCAATTTATTGTAAGAAACTGATTAAATTGTTAATAAATAATTATTTAAGGATTATATAGTAAATAATTATAAAGTTATTAACTAAAGAATATCCAGCCAAATCTTGTTGTCTTGATTATTAAATTAAAATACTCTGAAGACACTTTTACAGTCTACTTATGAGAAGTGCAATACAAATTCAGCAATACATTTTTTTTTGCAATTCAGCAGAAATATTATTGGAAATTTAGATAAGAGTAAAGAACCATTGAGAGCTGGAATGTCCTGATTGTGAACGTAGCCAGCTCAATGACATCAACCAGAGTAACTTGCAGTGATCCGTACATCTCGCTTCCACGTGACGGCCAGTATTGGTCACATTTTATCTGTTCACGTCAAAAAATATTTTGGGAAAATAAATTTATGTTATTCTTTTTGTTTTTTTTTATGCAGTTCATGATGTCGCATTAAGTCTATTTGATATTTCCATATTTTTTATGTGTTATGGTCTTTATATATATATATATATATATATATATATATATATATATATATATATATATATATATATATGAGAGCTTTCCCTTTTGAATTGCAAGACCTATTTTAAAAATGTTTTTAAACTTCATTTTTTATGAATAATTAGATTGAAGTTTAAAATTTTTATTTTTAATTCACATTTCAGGGTGAAATTTGTTGAACAATTTTCAAAAAATTCATACTACAACAGTGCATTTCAATCTCACCTCGATAAAGAAGCATCATCGTCACATCATGCTAACTCACCCGGTTTCTCTCCTCCAGTTTGGTCATCATGACAATGCTTCCAGATTGCTTCTCCCACACCATCCTCCAAAAGTCGCAAAACGTATCGGGCATTGGTCCCTGGGGAATGAATGAATTTTATAAAAATAACTAAAAAAATCATTTACAATCGTAAGAGCTATCATAAGCAAATGCTGATACATCACTCGACAATAGGACTGTAAAGACATTTCATGAAAGAATAACAATAATAATAATAATAATAATACAATGTTTAAATGTGTATTCTAACTTTGCAACAGCTATAAAAGATGGAACAAAACCTGTGTAGCAATGTAGGCATTAGGCTTCCTGAAGCCATCCAGATAATTAGCATTGATGTAATCACTGCCCGCAACTAACTGACCAGGAATGGTAGTAACGAGTGAATGAGTATGGGGCATGGATTGTAACACCACCCTCGAATGATCGTAGGCTATGACGTTGGCGTACCTGTTTTTTGATTTGTTCACCTCGAGGTTCGATGCCTCCCATGTGAACTGTTGACCTGGGTCGATCGATTCGTACTCCAAACTGAATTTCGCGTTGTCATTTGCTCTCAGCTGTTCGATGTGACACTCGAGGTCGGAGATTGCAATTGGTGGATGGCAGAGCATTGCTGGGGACAGATTAGTTTATATGGTGTTTCTACATTTAAAATGTGTAAATATATCAGGATATATTTTACTAATGAACTAATATTTTAAATCACAAAATTTAACAAAATCCTGTTAATATTTCTGCCAAAAGTTCTGTGGCATATATTTTAATTATATTTACTTGTTTTAAAAACAAAATTAATTTCGTTTTTTTCACAATTTTCAACATTTCAGTTAAAGCTATAGCAGATAAAAAATTTTCCGAAAGAAAACAACGAGCACAACTAATGAGAGACCTGGTGACTGGTACTGGACTCTTCTAATTTCAACTGGGTCAACCACACTAGCGGGCACGGGGGCACTCCCGGTTGTCATGACGACCTTGCTGGCGCATGTTGACACACTTTTGTCGTTAATCCTTCGTTTTCTGCTTTTAAAAAACCAACATCATCAATTTCAATTTTCATACAAATAACTAAATCCCGATGTATACGAAACGATATAACTACTATATCTAATTCCGATACATTTGAAACGAAATAGCGAACAGTTCACCTAGCGATGATGATAATAAGGATGACTAGGAGAATGAGGACAACCGCCGCACAGATTGGCGCAACGATCCACAACAAATCGATGCTCTGTCGGCTGTTGTGGTGTGGCCCGCTCACGGATTGGTAGTAAGGATTGGGAAGCAGGGGACGAGAATAAGGAGAAGATATGTGTTTCTAATTCGATAGGAACGGTTGAAGAAATTATAAATAATTTTGAAATGTTTGAAAAATTAATTATAAATATTTTAGAAATGTTTCAAGGTTTATAAATAAATATTATTTAACAGATTAGGTACAAATGTCGAATTATGAATTTCAAAATTAAACTTACCCGCTCAAAAATACAAAGGTCTAAAATATCAAAAAATTAAGGATAAGCAAACAATTTTGTAAAAAAAATAGTTATGCTACTAGGCCTAACTTACATTAGATGCATAGAAAGCCCTCAGAAATGCTACATAGTTGTAGTTCTTTGGTAGAGGTCTGTTGAAAACATCGCCATCGTCATTCTTTCTGCCGTCTCCAATGATGAATTCTGTAGGTAGGTGGTCCCCATCAAATTTGCCTGCTATCCATCCGCTTCGGGGCGAGCCTAGAGATATCTAGCGTTTAGTTTCGTATTATTTTTCACGATGTGGTTGTAAAAATATTTTTACCTCATTTAATTTCATTAACTAGGTATACAAATTTTAACGAGAGAAATCTTACTCAATGAATGGTGATTTAAGAACTTTTGAAATATCACAATCAAAATTAAAAAAAAAATAGATTTTACAAAAAAATTGTACCTCTCGGTTATTAAAATCAAAGGATCTTTTTGTATCAGCAGCATCGGTTGGCAGAACGACCAGCCAGTAGTACAAGACACTGTTTCGTTCCTCATTGGCGGGTTTCAATCCCAGCTTTACCATACTGTCCGATAAGGACCTGATGACTGTTGGAGATTCCAGACTTGAAACTGATGGTAACAGGTCAACATTTAAAAAATGATATTATTGAAATAAAATGTACTTTGATGAATATAATAAGTGAAACATTGAAAAAAAATTTAAGCTGCTTTTGCAGTAGGAGGATTCGAATTCGAAAAGAACCCTTTCTTTTACTTTACACGAATTGATAATATGTTTAATGTCTTGATTCACGCGTATTCAAATGCACTATGTTGTTACTGTTGATAAAACTAAAAAATTCTAAAACAAATAGAAATTGTAAAACAATATTTTTAAAAACAATGTAGCAGTGCAGAATTTTTGGAATAAAAAAAAATCAGACCGTCTTGTGTGGTTTCTATATGAAGAATGTTAGTCGGTCCCCAGCTGCCATCAACGAACTTTGCAGTAATGTTGAATGTGTAGAGAGTTGAAGAGACCAAGTTGTCAATGTGACGAAGTTTTTCCTCTTTCGGAACGATAATTTCACGTCTCACGTCTACCGTCGTCTCCTCCATGCCACTGAAATCTTTTATCTTCCTTATGCCCATGTATTCAATCTGTTTTTCACGTAATTTAGTAAAACATTTTTAACAATTTGCTAATATGTTATTCATCGAAGTTTGATGTTTTTTTTTGCCTATGTTGTACAGCATTTAAAAACAAATTTGTTTTTATTTATCTGAAAACAGCTATGAGTCAATATAAGTTGTGTTATTTTGCAATAGTTATTTTAGAATCAACCTTGTATCGCGAGACTCCAGGCTTTCTTGGAGGTTTCCATTCCAGCGTGACAGAGCGGGAGTTGTGGACACTGGCAATGAAACCGCTCACAGCATCGGGTTTCTCTGAATATAATAGCGCTAATATAAAACACTGACAGTGCAAAATCTTAATAATATTGCTTAATAACCGCTTGTTGATATGAAGTCGTAATTAATTTTTCTAATTTTTTAAACAAATTAATCGAACCGTTTATAAATCTATCAGATATAGATGTATGGCTGTAACCACCGAATCGCCCGTCCGTTGTTTTAGCCCTGACCTTCACCGCATATGCCGTATTCGGCTCCAAGTTCCTAATCTCTGCCCAAGTTACATGATTGACATCCAGACTGGGCCAGTTTTCAACGTTAGAATTTGGTTGTGAACTGTAGTACACTCTGTAGCCGACAACTTGCATTTTGTTCTTCATGGACTTGCTACGAACTGGAGGTTCCCATGTGACCTCCATTGATGTTAGGGTGATGAACTTTGACTGGACGTTTGTGGGAGGAGGAAGAACGCCTGGTGGGAATATTATTTCCAAATAATATTTCTTAAAATGTTAGAAGTAATTATCAAAACACTTTAACGATCTATAATTTATTTACTTTTTGTCAAAACTGCAAATAATGTGGAGAAAAAAAATTATTTTAATAGATATGATTACATCTTATTGTTCATCCTTGAGATTCAGTGAATGCATTAGAAATATTTTCATCCAGCATTATTTAAACTCTGAAACTTTATGAAACAAAATTATATCTTCAAGAAAATGAAACCTACTGAGACTGAACGTTTTCACCGCAAGTTGGCTGGCCCAAGGCCCGCCGCCAACAGACGTGAAGGCCCTGATCAAGAAAGTGTAGCTAGTGTCTGCCTTCAAGTTCTCGATTAACATGCGACGATCGGTCGTGTTGATTCGTACATCATCCTGTTGGTCCATACTTTCGCAGTAGACAACCTCGTAAATTAGGATGTCCCCTTGCCGATGTTTCTTCATTGGTGGGTCCCAGGCTAATTGGATGCTTGACGGCGATAGCACGCTTGCCGTCAGGTTTTCCGGAGAACCGGATGGCACTGTTGGTAATAGGATTTTTTTGAAAAATATTTCAAAAAGTTTTTCTTCAAATTGAATTTTGAATAACTTATTAAAGACAATTAAAAAATTCATCTGATTTAAGTTCAGCATTCCTCAAAACAGTTGTAAAGCGATAAAATGTATTGAAACACGTATCGTAAAGACTCAGTAAACGTAAAAGTTATTATAAAATTGCGAAGTTTCAATGAAAATAACTGAAAAACTAAATGCTGTTTAGTCACCTCCTTCGATTGTTTTAATAGTCTCTGTGGCATACTCTCCAAAATCAACCTCATTTTTTGCGGCTATTTTGAATTCATAAATTGCCCCGTGATCTGAAATACATTAAACATTTTTCCACAACATTTTAGAAAAAATTAACCAAATTTAATTTTTTAAAGTGATATACAAATTTAATAAACTGGAAAATAAACCTAAGAATGTTGCGGTAAATTTTTCGATGTTGGCCCCAAATCTCCTCTCATCTACTTTTGCCTCTCCTTGAACGCCAAATGCCACTAAATATTCTTTCAACTCTCCGTGAATGTCTTTCGGTGGCAGCCATTCCACAATCACACCTGGACTGCCGGGCTGGTCTTCCGATAGAAGTGTTAGTTTCACTCTCTGAGGAACACTTGGTACTATTGAATAGAAAAAATTATAGTACAGTATACAAATTAGACAGTTATTTTACTCAAAGACCCGAAGTATTGTACACCGATTTTAAGTAATTTAAAGTTTCCAACACCGTCAACCTGCTGTTTTTGTTTTTGTCTTTTTCGGTTTGGCGTTTGGTCCTTCGCCGTTTCGCGTGAATGCAGCAACTGTGATGTTATAGGAGGTGGCAGGCGAGAGTCCTGAGATCAAGTGCTCGTTCTGGTTTGATGGCACGGGCTCGGATCGGATCCAATTGTCTTCATTCAAGTCAATCACCTTAAAATTTCAGTTTAAATTAGGTACAAGTTTTAGTATTCTAACTTGATACTATTTACAAAAATTTGTATCTATTTGAAGTTTATTTGTAAAAAGTTTGTCGGAAACTAATTCGTGTGAATGTCTTTTTGTACCTCAGCGTATTTGATGTAATATCCCTTTATATCAGCGTTTCGATCTGTTGGTGGTTTCCATTCTACTCTCACAGCCGTCGAATTAATCGCTTCTAATTTCAATTTTTTTGGCTCTCCCGGGACTATTGAAGAATTTGTTTTATAAAATAATTTTAGTATGGAGGTCAACAATTCGTTGGTAGGACTATCATATCAAATATGACTAGCACAAAAATAGAAATGCAGTATTTAAAATATATTATTAAGTAACACAGACTCAACACAACATTTTATTACACTTATTGCTAATGGTAAAAGAATGTGTTTCTGCCATAATAACTTTCCAAAACTAATTTTAAACAGAAATCTTTGAGCCACTTTTACGAATCTATTGCTGGTGAATAAACATAATGAGTTTTGTCGGAAAAAACCGTCAACAAATGAAAGAAAGACAAAACAATTGAAATGAAAAAACGAAATGAAAGGTGATTAAATGAACAAATGCATCAATAATCGTTCACCGAACGGAAATATAACGTCGTAAGAGAAGCGGTTTGCTTTTTAATCACGCAGCAGGTATTTACTTAATACGCATCAGCCGCAGTCGATTGCACCTTCTCTCCTTATTTATTATTCTCTAAACGTGCCTGCCTCTTTCTCTCTCTCTCTCTTTCTTACTCTTTTTTTTCTCTCTTTTTTTCTCTCTTCTCTCTCTCTTTGTCGCCCTTTTATGTTTGTTCAATTTTGTTCATGAGGCGTTAGTTTATTCATTTCAGTTCTTCGTTCAAACTCCTATATATTTTTGGGAAGTATGACGATACAGTTGTCTTAGGCTGATGAAATTTCATTTTTTTGATATAATAAGTGAGTTTATTCAAGCGTTTCGTATGTATATTTTAAATTATTTTATTATAAGTTACAATTTATATTCAAATGTGGCAATCAAGAAATCCAACCACATCTCTGAACATAATTTTGTTTTAAATTTGAGATTTTTTGTGTTATATTTTAGCGGAATGAGACAATTTTATAAATATTGTTATACCAAAAAAAGAATTTCTTGGCAAACGAAAAAAATTACATTTTTACGATCGTCTATTGCCATTTTAAATGAATTTATTTATCGCTCAGCGCTTCAGGTAAATAATTTTGACATAAAAGTTTAGTTTAATGAAGCTATTGAGTTTTAGAAGGTTCGTGCTTTAATTAGCTTTTGACTTTTTGTTGTTGTGGTGTCGGTTTTTTGCATAAAAGAATCGTGACTCAGAAAGTTTTTGTTTTTTTGTGTGCATTGTTTATGTGCTATTGCATGTGTTGTGTGAATATTTGATATAGTTGAGTCATGTTCAAATGATGATGATGATAGAGATGTTGAAAATGATGGTGAAGAAGAAGATGATGTCGGTTGAGATGACGACGATGACGATGATGTTTTTTTTTCATTTTTAAAACAAAATAAAGAGACTATCTTTGTTATAAATGCCTGAACAACGTGACCTGCCTGAAGTTCCACCTCCTTTAATTCTTAATCTTTAGTTTAGATTCCGCTACCTCATTAAATCAGCAAATCTCAAATTTGCATAGAAAATAATATTTTTAAATATTCACATTTTTCAGTAAAGTAACTCATTTGTTTGACAATAATTCTTAAAACAACATTTATTGCATTGTAAATATTATTCTTCAAAGATTTTATTTGAATATAAATGTTTCAATCAATTTATTTAATAAATAAAACAACATTTATTGTATTGCTTCAAGAGAATGAACCAGAAAGGCTTAATATCTTTACACTAGTTTCACCTCAACATTAATTGAACAACAGCCAATGGAACAAATATATCCAATAAATTATGAAAACATATAAAAAAAATTGATTTTTCTGTTTATATCAAGAAATAATTGCTTGATGTACCTCTATGAATAGGAGTGAGTTTAGGTAGATGGATGTGTGATTGGTAGGTAGTGGTTTCTCGGTGAGTAACTATTTTTCCGATGAATCAATGACTAAAACGATAGGTTAATAACAAGAGGAAGGATGAAAACTGATCAAAACTATCCATCTTTTAATATATGACACATTTTAAAGAGCTAACTTTTCAATATTATGTTAATTGTTAATTGCTATTTAGTTTTGCTATGTTGTATTTCTTCTGGAAAATATTTCATAATCTGTTAAAAATGTTTGAGCCTATCGCAAATTGTTATTGCTTTTTGAATTATGACTTGTTTCAGCGTGATATATTGAGGACAATAAGTAAGACAACAAGGAGGAAAGAAAAATTGTAGCAAATCTATGAAATCTTCGTAGCAAGCCTGAGTAATGGTCAACATCATCTTTCAAGCATTTTCTCATAATGCTAAATTGCATACATGTTTTGTTTTCTGGATGCGCGAGCTATAAATAAGGAACTTGGTTTTTCTTTTAAAAAATGCCCTTCATAATCTTTATATTTTTGCATACCGAGCGTTTTATAAGTGCTTGTTATTTATAAATATGTTTCAACTTGCAAGATTTTTTTATGATATTTTTTGTTTTACTGTCTTATTTGATGGTGTGCCAACATGTGTAATACTCATGTTAAATAATGCAAAAAAGAGTGTAAATGTATTCAAACTATAAAATTGACAGCATGCTCTCAAAGTAACAAATGATTTGATTGTTTACAATGTTTGTTCATATCTGAAACAATCATTTTGGGAACCAATCAAAATTTCAAATTTTCAAAAATTAAGAAGGACCTCTTTCAACATAACTGAAACATTTTTTTTTCTAAAGTTTTTAAAACATCATTTATATTACCAGAAACTGAACTACAAATTTGTAAACCTTGCGGATCGGTTTGAATCTGGATAGTAGTGCTAGGTGGACCTTCACCCTTCTCCGAGACAGCAGACAGCCAAATGTTGTAGTAGGTGTCCGAGTTCAAATTGCTCAACTCGTACTTAATGTTTTGCGACGGCGAACTGAATTCACTGTCAGGAACGTCTCTACTGAAGTTGGATTTGCTCCGGTAATCCATGTAGTTGATCCTGTAGGAAGTTATCGATCCGGTCGTTGGTCGATCCCAGTGGAGTAGGATGGAGGTGGGGGATTTCTGGGTGGCCCCGAAGTTCGATGGCATGTCTGGTACTGTGTGTTGTTTTCGTGGATGTTGTTTGTTGTTGGGATATATGTTTTTGTGTGTGTAAGGTGCTGAGTGGCTGATGTGTAAGATATTGTTTGTGGATCTGTCGATTTGTGTTTGTCAAGTTGAAAAATTAAATACTTTTGTTTTTCCCAAGCAGATATTAATGAATAAACAAAAAAAATAACAAAAATTGAAAACTAACAAAATATTATAGCATCTTATAAACGGCGAAAACTATAAAACAAATCGTTTTCACACCAAACTAAAAACTTGAATTTCTAAAAAAGAACTAGTTTTCTATAAGAATCTTAAAAATTCAAATGAAAATAACAATAAAAACGCATCTAGTCAGCAATGATCTGACGACCAGCAAACATCGCGGATCTGATGATGCAACTTCAAACATTCCAATGTGGTCACATGACGCCAGGTGATAGTTCATCATGTGTATTTAACCACATTCTCGTTGGATAACACACGCACCACACACACACATACACACACCACACACACACCACACATACACACCACATACCATACACACACACCACACACACACACACCACACACACACACACCACGCATACACAACCACACGCACAAACACACACCACATACCATACACACACACCACACACACACACACCACACACACACACATACACATTCACTCACACAATCACACACAGTAACATACAAACGCAGAATTACACACAAACATATACATTCATGCACACATACAAACATGCACACAAACACAAACATACAAACACTTTTTTATGTTAAATAACCAATGTAACAATAGCAACTTCTGCATATTTACACCGCGGATAAATAACAACAAACTAAAGAACACAGATACGTACGCATCACGCTAATGACAATGATTATTGCAATAGATATAAACTTTCAAAACAGAAAAACTTAAGCAAGAAGTTATCTACAAGACATTATCCAAGACAAGACGACGGCAGCTAAAGACATTGGACATAATCAACCACTGCATACAAAGGAAGAAAAATCATTTCCTGTATTTCTCATTCGCCACAATGAAAGACAATTCTGACTGTTTTTGCTAACAAAAAAAAATGCAACTTCAATAACAAAAAGTTAATGTCATCAGCATCAACATTATATATATATATAGTAATACATTTAACAAAGCAATATTAACGAATTGACATAAATAAGAGCCTGTCTGGCAAGAAACAAAATTTTGCAGAATAGTTTTATGGTTGGGACAAAAATGGCACAATGAAATAGAAAAACAGTTTCAGGTTTTGAAATAAAACAATTTCTAAGGAGGAACAACAAAGTAATAGAAACTTTCAAACAGCAATAACAGATTCGCTGATTCGGCAAAAATAAGCTTTCTAAACTGTCATATATAGTTATAAAATAATACAATAAATAAATATATTAAATTTTTTAATTTTATAATTAATTTATTCATAAAATAAATTATTCATAATATAAAACTGGCTTAAAAAACTAAAAAAACAAGTTTTTGCAAAAAATCTAACATCCTAACTGAACCTAACTGAGTCTCGGCAGAGACTCTGTCGAGAATATACTTTCTACAAACGCTACAACATAGCAACAGACTTACAGCAGCAACAACATCATCAACATCAACAACAACATCAAAACAACAAACTGCCAGCCAAAAACCAAAAACAGCAACAATCACGTCAGCAACAACGGTCAAAACAACAACAGCATAAAAATGACGCCATCAACATTTCGTTGCTGAACAACAGTACATTAATAACCGCAGAAACTACAAACACGTTAACAACGACAACGCAGACTGACACTCAAGCAAAAATCAAAAAACAGCGGCATCTGGCAAAAAGATGTAGTCACTTGAAAATACACGGAAAAGAGGAAATCTTTTCCTCTAGACACGCATAGCAACGGACGGAAAATGGAAGTAGCTGAAAAGAACGACAATAATTTGCGCTGTCACACGCATGGATGCATTGCCAATGCAAAATCATGCAAGCTAGCCCTAATGTTACATGACCACCAACTCCACTGTTTGTGTTGCATTTTTGTCTATAAAAAGATGCACCACACACACACACACACACACACACACACACACACACACCACACTCACTCACGCACATACCTACAGCATTGTAAGGATGTAGGCATTTATTAATTTATACATTACATAGCTTCCTCCATATAACATCACACAGACACAACTTATTTTCAGAACACTAAAAATCACATCCTCATTAAACATAGCATCAAAAAGCAACGCACCACACTAAAAAAACACCTCACACTGTCAGTAAACTTGGATTTTTTTGATTTTTTTTTATATTTTTTTTTAAACTTTACAAAAAAGCAATTTTTTTAGATGGGCAGTTGCATTTGAACTCGCTCAGTTTTAACACGTAAGAATTTCAAAAAATAAAATACGAACAACGAAAACTTGTCAAATAATCATATAACTACCTAGTCATATGAATACGCATTTTGTAATAAAGATGAATGAATACTTATCTTTCACTCAACTTAGGCGTATTTATTTTTCAACTTCGTAGAAATAAATAAACAAATTAATTAGTTTCTACGTTCATTTTCTTCCAGCTTTTTTGAAAATCATAAAATAACATCCTTACATGCTTTGTGTTCATTCGAGCGTTTATAAAGATCATTTTTGAGAGGTAGTTTTATTTTTTACTTTTATTTAAGTTTTTTGCTATAAAATTTTTTTTTTTTTGAGAAAAATATTATTTTTCCATGCGAGTGCATTTAATTTTCATCATTTTTCCATCTACTAGAAAACTGCATTTAGATGAAATCTCAGTAGAAAAATATTTTTCTCTCATAACATTTTAAGACATTTTAAACATTTTTCCTTTGACTAAAAGCTAAAAAATTAACTTAGAGAATAAAAAATTTTCACAGTGTAAAAATTTGTAGTGCAAATTCATTACGAGACAAGCGTACCTAGTAACCATAAATTCATTATTGCAATAAGATTTCAACCATTGATAAAAAACGCTAAGAGAAAATAAAAAATCTTCGATTTAGATAAAAAAAAAACATTTCAAAAAGTTAATTAAATTCCTATTATCTCCGTAGAATCACTGCATTCATTGTTCCGTTGAAAGATTTAATTGCGTTATGTCACAATCACTTGCCGCGTTCAACTTTCATTTTAGGCATTTATATATGTGTATGTAAGTATGCATGCATGTATGTATGTATGTATGTATGTATGTATGTATGTATGTATGTATGTATGTATGTATGTATGTATGTATGTATGTATGTATGTATGTATGTATGTATGTATGTATGTATGTATGTATGTATGTATGTATGTATGTATGTATGTATGTATGTATGCATGTATATATGTATGTATGCATGTATGTATGTATGTATGCATGTATGTATGTATGTATACATATATACACGTATAAATATGTGTACAAAAATTTCATTTCACATTATTTTTCAGATAAAAAAACAAATCCTTCTATCTCATACTGACAAACTAAACACACAAACAACAAACATCCACACAAACAGAAAAAACACAAAACGTGTTTGTTTTTGAACTTTGTCATGTGCATTTGAATACACATGTAAGTACACTTTGAATGAACCCACCATTGCAAGTCTCATGTTTTAATTCAAAAACAGCATATTCACGTCTCTAGGAGCTTCTGAACAAATGTACAAACACACACGCTGGCTATGTCCATTCGTCATGTTAGTTCATCAAACATCAACAAAAAAAAATCATTTCTAATATTAAATTATATAAACAGCATCGTGTTAATCATGATGTTCAAATAGCATAACAGTATCTACATTTAAAATCATTTACACAACGCTTAACAATTCGCTATGATAAGAAATACATTCCCCTGAGTCGCATTTCAAATGCATACGTATCCATAAAGTTGCTTGTTTAAATCGTGGTATTTTTTACCCACAAACACAAAACATGTTGCAAGTTGAGTTGGAAACACGCGTGTGTATGTTGTATATTCAACACGCATGTACACATAGGGCTGTCCGTAGGGGATGTCACGCTCTGAGGGGAGGGGTGCGGTCAGAAAGTTTGTACCTCTTTGTCGTAAAGCGGAAAAGTGTAAAAGCTTGTCTGACGTAATAATTTGTTTAGCTTAATTTCAATTACTATCCTGAATGATCAACAAATTTGTAATGACATTTTCATTAAGAATAGTTTATAACATTTTTACCTGTTCAATGCAACGATAATTTTCAATTGTTAAATGTTCGTGATATTGATAATTTGCATGAAACATTCTAAATTGCAACTAAATGGTGACTTCCAAAGAGGGAATGTTGGAAATTTTGACGGGCTTAAGTTGTGGAGTTAACAATTCGTGACAACCTCTGTGGCCAGCCAGATACGTATACATGAGAACTTTGTATTGATAAATACACACATCCAATTAAACGCGAATGAAAGTTATTCGCGTACGCATGTATATTTTTTGTATAAACGTAAATACAAATGCATACATAAACATACATTAGCGTCTGTGTGTATGCATGTCATTTTTATCCTTAATTGAGAATTCAATTGATCAGACCAACCTGGACTCACTTTATTTCGTGGCGTTTATAAAGAAATTTAATTTGTTTAGATTTTCTCTTATCCATCATCAATCACAAATAAACGTTATTATTTTAATTATATCTTAAAATAATAAAATATATTATAATGAGATTAAAATACCATAAGCCAATGTTGAATTATAGCTAAAAAAAATTATATAAAATGTATTATATGAAATGAGATTATTTTTTTTAAAAACGTCATCAATGATGTTGAAAATTTTGGAACATGGTTTGCTTCAGACAAAGTCCAGAAGTCATAAAAAATAAATCTTTGGTACATGAAAACACAAACAGAACACGAATGATTGAGTGTGTTTATGAGTGTGGATGACTGAGCGAGTGAATTTTGGAGTGAATGAGTGTTGAAATATTTTTTATGAATGAATTATGAAAGATGAATTATTAAGCATGGAATTATGAATAAATTGAATGGGCAATGTTAACAAATATAACGGATGGATGAATAATGACTGAAGGACTGGCTGAATAAATGAATGAAGGTATGAATGAATGAATAAACGAATGAATAAATGAACTAATGCATGATTGATTGAATGAATACGATTTATAAAAGTTTATTTCATTGTTAGAAAAAGTTTTTGATTCTGAAAAAAAAACATTGAAGAAAGGTAAAAATTTGCATGAAAATGAATCAATAAAATTGAAAAACTGATCGACCAGACAAAAATTCAGTTTTGTGACATCAAAAAAAAAATAAAGAGCCAATGACAGATAGATTGCAAGAACACAGTCCTGAATAAATAAACAAGCAAACGTAAAAACAAAACAAAAACTTACTATCGTAAATCCCAACATTCACTTCTTCAGTCCATAGATTTATGCATGATTTTAAAACCATAAATTAATTAAAACTATAATTTCATCTGCTTAACGTTTAACAATAAGCGTTTCGCAAGCAAAGATGGTGTGGTATTTAAAGATGTCTGGTCCTGTTGGTGTTGCAGTAACCGAGTTCAAACGCAAGAAGATCTCCGTCTATCAAGAGTAATGAATCTGACGTAGCGATATACATGTATTCGTGTACTATGTGTGCGTGCGTGCGTGCGTGTGTGTGTATATGTGAATGGTGTGTGTGTGTTTGTGTCACTGATATATCCAAAAAATCAAACATTTCCAGCATTATATCTCGGTGAAGACTGCATAGTATTTTCAAATTAATTAATCAATAAATTAAAATAAATTAATACTTTAATTGAAATTAATTAAATTAATCGATTAATTTAAATTTTTATTTTCTAAAATCCACACACCATCGGTGTTAGTGACGACATGAACGTTCTCAGAGAGAGGGCCATCCCCGACTCTCGTGAATGCGAGGACCGTGATGGTGTAGGTTCGATTCCTCATGAGGTTTTTTAGGGTGGCCATCAGAGTGTTCTCCACCGTATGCTGGGTCCATAGGGACACGGGCAACGAGTTGGGGCTCAAGGTGTAGTAGACTTTGTAGCCCTGTTCAGTACGTGTTTGCTTGCGAGATGATGATGTGTAACTAGGTTGTTGGTTTTGTGCGCTTGGTATGTGTGTGGATGTGTGTGTGTGTGTAGATGTGTTTGAATATGTGTGAGTATATGTGTGGATGTGTGTGAATGTGTCTGCTGTGTGGACGAGTGTGTATGTGTATGTGTGTGAATGTGTGTGTGGATGAGTGTGAATGTGTGTGGATAGGTATGAAAGCGTGTGTATCGCATAAATTGATCAAACTGTCCAGGCCAGGTCTTTAAAAATAAATTGTTCAGTATTAATAGCATAGAACAAAACTCATTAATTAACTTCTGACACCCGCTTTCAGGTTCAGGGCTTAACGAAATTATTTTATAAAAAATTTAACACAAATCTCAGCTAGCTAAATGTTTTTTATCAGAACTTATTCAGGTACAATGCTAAATATAGAATTTTAATTGATACACGCGTGTATAGAACACGTAGGTTTGTGTTTGTGTTTGGTGTGTGTGCATGTGTGTGCGCGCATGTGCGTGTGTGTGCGTGTGTGCGTGTGCGTGTGTGTGTACGTGGAATTATGCTAAAGAATTAGAGTGAAAGAAAAGAAAGTAGCAAAAAAAAAGACAAAAAGATGTAGTGTTCTGCTGGCGTGCACTAAATGTACTTATATTACTAAGTGCCAGAGCACTGAGATGGAGAATATGATAGTGATGTATGTGTGCGAGAGGAGTGAGTCGTTCATTTGAAACGAGGTTTGTTAATTTTAAACGATAGACGATGAGTGACACCAATGTGGTCATGATGATGATGAATCGGCAGGGATGATGATGATGATGATGATCATGATCATGATCGTCATGATGTAGTTGTCGTTGATGTCGATTATGATGATGATGACGACGACGAAGATGATGAGGATGATGCTGTTGATTATGATGACAATGATAATAACTGTTTCGTTGTGAAATCTCATTATCAGTGATAATGATGAAAAGATTGTATGATAAAATGCTAAAAATGAAGGTAAACCAGGTAAACCACTTGTAAAGATGTTAAATTTAAGCCAGTCTCCGTCTGAACTATAAAACATCATTATCCACAAAAAATGATCCTCTATTAAAATAGCATTAAACACATTTGCAACACCATCGCTGCTCATTTCCACCATCACACTCACCTTAATGACACCATTCGTGATGTTTGGTTCCCTCCAAGTGACCACCACACTGTTCGGACTGATGGCTCGTGCTCTAACTTCCAAAGGCTGACTTCCAGGTACTTAATTATGAGTTTTAATTATATTATAAACGAAAATTTATAAACATGAATAATAAATATTATTACTATTAATTGTTAAAATTATCATTTAATTTTTTTTTAGTTTTTATTTTTAAAAGAAACGAACAGAAACATACAGACAAACGCACGCACACACACACATGCGCGCACGCATACTAACACGCACACTCACACACGGTCTGTATATACAATTTACATTGAGATTATTATGCACTCCATAAGGTTAAGATTGGCAGTCACGTTCCTACTCTCACACACGATAAGTAGTTTGTCAAAATTGAAAATAAATTATCAAGAACTTTCCACCTAGTTCGCCTGTTGTGACGTCAACAGGCTGGCTGGGAGGACTCCTTCCATTAGCATTGAGGGCTATGACTCTGAAAATGTACTCTGTGTAGGGTAACAAGTTGCTCACTTCGTGGTCCGTCCTGTAGATATCTCTGTCTTCGGTTCGGCCTAATTGTGTTTTAATTTTTTTTTTCATTCTGTAAATCAAACTTTGTCAAACGCAGAAAAATAGATAAAGTTGAAAAAAAACATATTTGATGAACCAGCCAAGTGGAAAATAATTTGTATTCAGTCATTATTGAAAAGGTTAGATAAAACAAAGTACCGTCTGTTTTTTTATGAATCGATAAAATTTAAAAAAAGAAAAAATTTTGTAAATTCTGAATGAGCATAGCTTCTTGTTCTTGTATTTAAAATTTTTTTTTTTTCTTGTTCATGTGTTTCAAATTTTTTTTAGGGAAAATATATAACAGTATATAATTCGACATTGAACATTTAATCAAGTTTAAAAAAATTAAAAACTATGGCGTTATACAATGGCAAAGACCAAAGTGAATAATCTCTAAACATTAATTGAATCAATGAAAAATGGAAAACAAAAAAAGTTAAAAAGAAAAAATGGTATCGGAACCCTTACTGAGGGCATAGTGGAACTTGGGGTAGTACTCAACAGCGTAGGATTCCACAGGCTCCACGTTACCAGAAAGCCACGACAGCCGCACAGAATTCGGGGACACCTCGGTTATTTTCACTCCGACCGGTGGTTTGGGGAGGGCTGAAAAAAAATATTTTCACATACGCACATACGCAGACACACGCACAAACACGCGCACACGGACTGACCTTTAACCCTAACTTCAGCAGTGTGGTTGATGGTTCCGTGAGTCGAGTTAGCGACGCACGTGTAATTCGCAGACTCGACGACTTTGTGCAGCATCATCACACCGCCGCTCTGAGAAAAAATATTGGGATCACTGTCGACACCATCCTCTCTCCTCCATTTCACTTCAGGGGCTGGTGTTCCCTGGGCAGAGCAGGAAAGTTTGATGGAACTGCCGAATGCCACTTCCTCGTTGATTGGCAGCATGATCCATTCAGGGGCTGAATATCTGGCTAGTATGTTGGTGAAAAAACGTGTTTTCTCTATTAATTTCGTTTCATTAATATTTAATTTATTTTTCTTTTGTGATTAGACCGCTATTTATACTATGAAAAAACAGCATAAAATAAAACAGCAATGAAATGAAATATCCTCTAGCACGATCAAATTCTCCGCCAATCCGGAGCAACACCAAAATGCATTACTTATTTTTAGGAAAAATACCACAAAACAAAACCACAAAACGACCAGCTGAAACAACAATACAAATAGAGAAGACACCATAAAACGAGCAACAAACTCCACAAAGTACACCAACGTCCAACCTCTAACAAAGACATCAGCGGGCAGACTGTAGTTGGTTCCTACCTCGTTTTCCGCCACACATTCGTATCTCCCCTCGTAATGCTGATTTGTGTTCAACATCTGCAAGTCACCTGTTATACAAGTTTGTTTGCGATGAATTGCTGTTTATTTTCCATCTAAAAACCTAAACTGTTCAACAAACACACACACACAAGCAAACACACACACATACACACACATGCAAACAAACATACACACACACATAAGCAAACACATTTTAGCAACGTTTACTTGAAGTTTGATATATGATGTTTAATATTATGAGTAATTGATGTGCTGCCGTCATGTTTGAGTTGATTTTTACTTATTGCTGTCAATTGTGAGCTGCTCATTTGTCTATTGATCGTCTTGGAGTTGATGAAATTGTTGTCGTTTGGTTTTTTAAAGCGTTTGTTAGGATGCTGCTTTCTTTACAATACTGTATACAATTTATATCAATATCTATGCCGTACGTTTTTATGGACAAAGCTATATAATTTTCATTAAGTTAAATTTTAAATATTTGATGATTTGCTAATTTTTTCCAGTAGTTAAATAACTTATGCTTATGACGATCACACTTTTTTAAATTCAATTTTATTGTAAGTTAAATTTTTTAAAATAAGAACATAAACAAAAAGAAAAACCAGTCCAAACAACAAACAACCATTTTTCCAGTGTTTTTGTCACCTATTATTTTTTCAATCTTAAACTGCCATAAGTTTTATTTGTTTAAACATTCTAATAAAAAAACATAAAAGTGCAACCAAAAAAACTAACCCACATTAATTTAGAAAAGCCTTAAACTGACATTTAAAAATACTTGAAATATCTGTCTTTATTTTTCAAAGACAAAAAATCTTAATTGGTTGAAGCAATAATTTACATTGGGAATAATTCATCAGGATATTTATATGTAGTCCTTAGTGATTTATATACACTTGTATATATATATATATATATATATATATATATATATATATATATATATATATATATATTAAATTATAGGATCAACAAAATTTTGACAAATACCGCAGGCATATCCATACGAATCACTTGTCATATTTCATGATTTTCTGTGCGCTTGCTTTATTGTAGATGAGGCTGATATGAACGTTGGAGTGATTTTTTACGTTTTATGAGTCATGGAATTTGAATGCAACTATGAATATCATTTTGATTTGTTTGTTTGTTAGTTTTAGGAGTCATAAACGAAAATGAAATTGTATGAAAAGAAGAAAAAAGAACAAAATTATGTGACAATTTTTATCACTTGTTTAGGTAAACTAAATTTTTGGACTAATTAAATTAAAAATTATTCATTTAAATTAAAAAAAGGATTTATCGAGTTTTATTATAGTCCAGAATATCTAAAAAAAATCAATTTCGTCTTATTTCATCACCATGCATGGTTCTTACTCCTAACCGACCTTCATTCAAATAAATTTATTCTGACGAAATTTCTGAAGTTCAGAATGTAAACAAAAAAAACACACAATCAAAAACGTAATCAAAAACATAAACATAAAAAAACTTAAACATAAACCGGAACATAAACAAGATAAACACAGAAGGACACTGTTTAACGTGCATGAATGTTGAATGGCCTTGAAATAATAAAAAAAAACACGATTCCACATAAATAGTGAAATCATAGAAAGTTTAATGCGGACGATATATCTCCAATTGGAGTTATATCCCTACCTTGCCCTTTAAGATGGTATAACACTAAATGACGAACGACTTAAAGACGCCCAAGCGAGAGAGATGTAAGACGTTTATTTATTTTAGTTTAGTTTTTTCTTATTATGTTTTTTTCTCATTTTTTGGTTTTATTTTGTTCCATTTGTTGTTTCGTTTAGTTTTGTTTCCTTTATTTTGTTTTGTTTCATCATGTTTGTTTGTTTGTTTAAAACATCAAAACTTCTAAGAGATCAAATGTTCAACCATCTTCTCTAAATCTTCCAAAATGTATTTGTTTGAACTTGGAAAGTGGAACGAGGCTACGGATAAACAAACATCAAGAAATTTTTTTTTAATTTGAACGATAAAATAATACTAAATTGAAAATGACTCAATAAAACTTGCCAAAATCGTAACTTGAGTAAAATTTTCAAGAATAAAAATGTGATTTCTAAAACAATAACCGAATAACGAAAGCTTTTTACATCTATTAGCACCACATGAAACGTGTTTGTACCTAAGTTTGACGAATCAAATCATCGACACACTATAAGATGCATATGCGTACATAAATACCATTCATTGCATTAATTCATCAATTCACTCGTGCCTTCCTACACAAAACCAAACACCTAGCAAACAAACGGTGCATTAAAATGAATCAACTCTGTTTACATTTTCTGTATGTATAATTGGTAGAACAAAGTATTGTTGTGCAACAAACCAAACACTATTATTCAAATTCACTTTGAATAAATTTAATCCAGTGACTTCATGTTTATTATTAAGATAAAAAAGAACTTCGATTAGATGGCAAACCTGCATTTAAAATGAATAAAATTATCCATCAATGAATTCAATTTATAAAAAAAACATTTCGCTAATTATTCATCCCAAAATTAACGAAACCAAACGGAATCAAACGAAACGAAACGAAACCCTACCTCGGGGTACAATGGAGTGACTGAACCTCCACATTTCAATGGGTACATTGTCCTTCAGCCAAGTGATGTTTGACTGAGGGTAGGCTCCACAGTTTAGTACGAAACTTTTGTACATGTCGATGATGGTTTTTGCTGGCTGCGGATGGATTTGCGGAAATCCGTGTGGGACTGTAAAAGTGGGATTTACGTTGTTTTAAGTAGTTTAATATTTTTGTAAAACAAATTGAAAATTCATTCAATTATTCACCAATAAAAATACATACCTATGTAATGTATTGTGTGTTAGTTTATTGGTAAGCCGTAGTAATCTAGTACGACTGTAGTAAATATAAAATTATTCTTTATAAGTCTTTTCAGTTTACTTCAAATTATTTTATAGTTGTCCATAACAAACACAGGCGTAAAAAATATTACAAATGTAGAGATATAGAGATCAAATAATTAAAAGTCAATCAAATATCTATAAAACTTTTGTGTATATTTATTTAGAGTGTGACAACAGGTCAGATATTGATCCATCAATGAACACATAATAACTTTTTTCAGACATTTAACTTTTGAACAAGGCTAGCATTGTTTCCCCAATCTCAAATTAATATATTGTTCCTTTCAAAATGTACAGTATGACCTACCTAACTGTTGAGATAGAGTTTTATACTAACTTTTATTGAAATAAAAGATAGGAACCTCCAGTTGAATAAACTAGAAGAGTTTGTAATCCTAATTAATCCTAATTAAAAAAAAATTGAATAAAAAACTGTTTTTCACCACATTCGAAACGACAGGTCGTAGAGAACTCGCGAATGAAGCAGCACGTACAACCACGCTATGATGATTCACGAATTAAACTATAGAAAAAATTCAAGAATCTCAAAAAAAAAATTCAAGAGTTCACTTCAGCATGAATAAAATTTTATATACAAAAATATAGTATAACAAAAATATTCACCTATTACACATGTACTATGAAATAAATTAAGAAACTATGAAATATACAATATATTGCATTACCATAACATACAACAAGAAAATACGTGAAAATAAAATAAAATGGCTAATTGAAAAATGGCATTGAAGCCAGATTGCTGGGGTGGTTGAGGTGGCAGTTTTCCTTATCAAAAGTAATTTATTTAAACATTGCAATGAAGTTTGTTTTCATATATGCATTACTTCATAACTTGTAGACATACACACACACGCACACACACACACACACACACACACGCACACACACAAACAAACACACACACACACACATTGCATTTTTTTTATTGAAATCAAGTTAGAACAACGCTCTTCCTAGCCATCATATCATCTCGTCAGCCGTCTAAAGCAAATGAATCCAGCCAGAAATTAAATTAATTCTGTATTTCATTTTAAATCCTTGGAATTGGATGATGACAAAAAAAATCAGTCGGCCAATAACGATAAATAAATTTAACGATAATAACGTATAGGCAATCGCGGTCATTCAACGGAGAAATAAATCTCACCTCACACAGAATGCACGCGTTCATTCAAATGTATTACAACGCATTTTCGCCTCGATATTTTCCACCTTAATTTTGATTAAATTTATTTTTTCAATTCACGCGATTGTCATTCGTTCTTTCTGCGGGCCTTTTCTTTTTCTTCGTTTTTTTAATTCATAATGTAATTACCAGGAATGTGTTGTCAACTACGTTCAACCGCAAACGCAAACACTCGTGCAAATGAAAGCAGGCACTTACGAAGAGAAACAAAAACACACATACGGACATACAAAGTTAAATACATATGCAAACAATCACACGAACACAAAATATCAAACGAACGCATGTGAACAAACAAACCGCACGCACACATGCAAACAAAAATGACAGACAAAGAGAAACACACATACACACAGCACAACACATTCAGAAACGCACGCACACGCCATAAATAAAACTCTCTCTCTCTCTCTCTCTCACACACACACACACACACTAACAAACACACACACACACACACGAACAAACGTGTTTATTGCTAACAATTGAATGAATTTTTCAACGCTAAAAATTTAATCTCCATTTCGAAGAACTCCTATAAATCTGCTGAGACGCTGGGAGAAGACGATGATTGGTTGAATGTTTGTGATGATGACGACGACGACGATGACAATTATATGCAGCTGTCATAATCATATTGATAAAATTATACATAATTCAGTGACGGTCAATTTTGTTGGTGTCATCATCGAAAATAGTGATTTTGAGTTGAATATGACGATTATTAACTAAAATCACGATAATTTTTTTTATCATTAAATCTCAAAACTGAAATAACCAATAATTAATTTGATAAAATTTAAAAAAAATATGAAGCATATTTTTCATCATCCTGATTGAAAAAGAAGATTATTTTCTAAAAAAAATCGCAGTTTGATTTCCTGCCAATTGTAAGTAGGATTTCAACTAAACCTAATAACATGCCCCAATTTAACAATGGAGAAAAAGAAAACAAAAAGTTTCGAGTTTCAACAGTTGTTTATTTTATTATTCCAATTCAAAGTGGTTTGATTTGAGATGAAATTTGAGAATTATTTCCCAATTAATATTGTATATTTATTTCATTCTAATTTATACATTTTTATTCTTTTAAAAGTAATAAAATTGACAAAAGATTTATTAAAATAATCTGATTAGGGCAAAGGAAATGAAATAAAAAAAAATTAAACTCTCAATTAATTTTCAGATGAATCAAGAGCACACACATACACGCCAGACAACATACATACACACATACACACACCACACACACACGCCACACAACACACACACACACGCCACACAACACACATATACACACACATACTCAAACAATGCACGAGAGTCCACATTACATGTGATAGTCGGGGATCTCGCCGTATTCGAACCCAATCACTTCAACATCATGAACAAACTTTTTAACCATTTCCCCATCTCGTCGCATTAAATGTAATCCGTCTGATTGGAGAATGCTATATATGAATGCTATATATGGATAATATATTAATATTGTATACTTATTTCATTCTAATTTATACATTTTTATTCTTTTAAAAGTAATAAAATTGACGAAAGATTTATTAAAATAATCTGATTAGGGCAAAGGAAATGAAAGGAAAAAAAATTTGGTTTACAGGATGAAGAATGGCCTCTAGTTTGTTGAACTGGAATGGTGTTTTAAAAATAAGTTGCATACACGCAAACAATCCCATTGAACGACGTATTCAAACTTAATTATTCAGCAATTTTTATAACATTGTTATACAGTTACATTGTTTCTCACAGAACATTAAAAATGTTCTGTGAGAAAATTTCAATTCTATCCGTTTATTAATTTCAGCCATCAAAAAGAAAAGAGGGTAGGTGGAAGACAATTTTATTTTTTACCTTTTGTGGCAACGAGTCGTCTCAGCCATTAATGCTTGTTTCCTATAAGTATTTTTCATTGAATATGAACGTTTGTAAAAAAAAATATCTTTTATAAATATATTCTCAAAAAAAAAGTTCTCTGTTGTGTTACTCTCTTTAAGAAGTGAGTTCACGTTGTGTTATCCTCTTTTGAAATTTTTGTTTTGTTATTTTTACGCCTTGTTATGTTATGTTATTCAATCTGGAAGGCGCATTAGTTCCCTCTTTATCTGGCTAGATCGTGTTACATGTTGCGCGCCATTTCGCGGGTGTTGTCGTTGCGTGCGTTCGTAAGTTACCAGGGAAGAAAACCTCCTTTTAAGTTTCTGTTACAATTCTTGTAAAGTTATATCGCATTTCGGAGAGTGTATTCATTCATTCGGAGCTGCATAAAAATGTTATGTTTATGTCGAATATATGCTGCTGTTTACTTTATGAATGTGAGTGTGTGTGTGTGTGTGTGTATGTGTGTGTGTGTGTGTGTTTGTGGTATGTCTCTCTCTCTCTCGCTTTCTTCTCTCTCTATCTCTATCTTTATCTCTATCTCTCTATGTGTGCGTGTTGTGTGGTGTGTGTGTGTGTGTGTGTGTAATATGTCTTTCTCTCCTCTCTCTCTCTCTCTCTTTCTTTTTGTGTGTGCGTGTGCAAAATGTGTTATGGATGGAAGTGGTTGATGTGGCGTTGAAAGAAGACGTCAGTTTAAATAATATTTTTTGGAATGATTGCACTCATGAGATTCCAATAAATTTTTTTTAAAATAAAAATATTTCAGCTAAAAATAATAAATTCATAAATCACTTTAAAATTCTATATTGTACAAAACGTCTAAGTACTTTAAATAATGAAAACTAATTCGAAAGCATTAACTTTCGTAGCCATGCAAACAAAAATCATGGAAAATTTCAACACTGAACACATTTTCTTTTGGAAATAAATTATTATTTTAGTGAAATCATTTCAGAAATAACTCACAATAGTTTTAATCATCAGCAAATAAAAAAAAAATTTGTAACTCTAAGACGATAAGAAGGTAAGAAGGTTGCTGTCTGTATGAAATATTCTGACGTTCCAGCGATCATTAAACTGACGTAAAGAATAATATTTTGATGTTTACATTGGAGTTATCGATACGTTTTAAGATAATGTTTATTTTATGTGCATTACGTATAATTCGAGAATGTTGGAGCATGTATGTAAGATTTGCTTCGTAGTTTTGTGTGGTTTGTTGCGTTAGGGCTAAATTTGGTTGTATTCTCTAAATTAACGTACATTCTTCGGCGATAAGTGTCAATTAAAAACATTTGCGTGGATTCGTTTGTAGTGCAATGTTAATTTTTTAGCATTTGGTTAGAAAATTAAAAGTGTACATGAAGAGAAACACGACATTTTATGATTGATAATAAACAGATAGGGAGTCAGTACAGGTTATTAACCAGAAAACACGGAAATTTTTTTAACATTGTTCCAGGTTTCAAAATGCATTCAGATGAATGTAAAACATTCATGATTAAATTATGACTTATCAGACTTAAGAGAAACATAATGTTTTATTGAATAAAATTTTGAATTCATACTTTGTTGAAAAAGTTAAATGTCATTCATTTACACTACAGTCTTCCAAGTTTCAGAGGAAGTAACAAACAACAAACAGTCAACAACCGTTTTTTTAAATTTAGCCAGCATTTTCTACTTACTTGCTTGTTTACATTTGAACACGGTTTTAAAACAAAAAAACACCGTTTTACATCAAAAAGATTGACACATAAGCTGTCTGAGAAGCTGAAAAAAAGCCGCTAGTTAAGTATTTCCAATTTGTGGCCCCCTCAAACTTTACGTGTCTAGACAATTTTGCGTGTCTAGACAATTCTGTCACAAATGTCTAGATATGTTGGCAGCTGCAGTAAATGTTGTGATCATATTCCAACTGATTAAAAACTTGTCCGCTTATTGACAAATGAAACATTACGAAAGAAACAACATTATCGAAACATTAATATCAGTTTGATAAATTAATAACACGATATTTTTAAAAGTATGCTGCAAAATCAAATTCTTTGCATACTATAAAAAACTTATTTTGATCAAAAAGTTATCAGAGAGACATTTACAATGTCACACAAGCCTATTTTAAAAGCAGTTACTGTTTTATTTTAGTCTTACAAAGAAAAATTTGGCGGAAAATAAATTTAAAAAAAAAATAAACGAGTCAAACATAAAATCTAAAATAGCCAACTAACTGTTGTAATGATCGTACACAGTGAGGTTGAACGTGGCCTGGCTGCTGGCCCCGACGTGATTGTTTGCCTCGCAGATGTATGTGCCTTCGTCTTTCTTTCTTACCTGGAAGTTTTTATCCTCTTGGTGTTACGTATCTTACATAGTTATTTGATAAATTAATTATTAATAAAATTGTTAAAATTATCTCAATTTACAATTTTTATTGCTCAATTAATAACAAAATTTAGAAGTGTAACAAATAGTGATAAATGAAGACATTTTAAGATTTTACCTGCGTGAACTTAAGCACCGATCCGAAATCAACGGGCTTGATAACAAAAGTCGGATTCCTAGCCGATGGGATCATGATCCGGTTGTTATGTCTCCATGTTCCTTCCGGCTGAGGTTTGCCAGTAAATAGACAGTAGAATGTGGCAGACATGCCATCAACCACTTTTAAACTTTTTGGGGGTAGGGTGATTCTTGGTGGGTCTGGAGAAAAAAAGAAATATTTATGTTGAATTTTTTTTATAAGAAAGTTTAAATGATGCCATTGTCGTGTTATGAAGAGATAGTGAATTGGTGTAACGTGTTAATGTGTCTGGTTCTATTGCTGCAGTCACTTCATACAACAAGCAATGCGCTTGAAACTTGCATCTACGCATGTTTATAGAAGTCAAGTGTGTATGTATATGTGTGTGTATTTGTTTGTATGTGTGTGTGTGTGTGTGTGTGTGTGTGTGTGTGTGTGTGTGTGTGTGTGTGTGTACGTGTGAGATGAATGTGTGTTGTTATTATTTTTGTGAAATAGTTGCTAGAAAATTATTAATTAAAATAAAAGTAGAAGAATGTTGGAATACATTTATAAAGTTGAGTGGATAATGAACGAAACTCGCTTTCAACGTAAAAAAATATTTACATATTTTGTTTGCAAAAATGTCAAAAGTTTGGTCATTAAGAGATATTAAACTAAAAAAATATTATTAAAAGTATTGAAATCGTAAAAATATGAATGTAATCTTTCATGATTAAGTAGAAGACTTAAAAAGAAACTGTTCTCCGTTCCGAGATTTCAAATTAAAAGAATTTTTTAAGCAATTTGTAAGGAAACCATTGCAATGAAAATTGATGTTCCGCTTTTAAAACTAATTAAAATTAACTACAAAAAATTGCTATCAAATGATGAAGTTTTCAAAGATTAAAGTAAAATAAAAATTATAAAAATTATAAATATAATTCAACAAAAATTGTCTAAAATTGCAACGTTCTGAACCATTAAACGAAAAAAATTTTATAATCAAACCAACAAAAACAATTCAAATAAAACTAATTAAATTTGAGATTATGGTTTAAAATTATTACCCAATGACAAAATTTATTTTAGTATCCATAAAAACTGATATTTTTTAGCAAAACATAATGACAATGATGAAAATATAAGCACGAGAAACGAATTATAAACATGTCTGGACGCAGTGGCAAAGTTTTAGATGGTTAATTAAACAAAGTGCTTAGCGAGAAATCTCTATATAACTTGCAAGACTCGTGGTTTATGCAATTTCTGAGGAAATATTACTGAAGTTGTAAATAAATATTTGAGTTTGGATGTCAATTTAATAAACGAAATTTCAGACAATAACTTAGTTATTTATTTATAAAAAGATCATCATACAAATAGCCTTTGTTTGATAGCATCTTTTATGTTTATTGAAATAGTAGAAAAAACACAACAAAAACACAAAAAACTGCACCAAAATGAAACTTAATTTGAATTTATCTGAGCTCAGTTAATGTACTAAGCAGTTGTTTTGATGGTTAGTGTGCTAGTCAACATGTCCATTATAAATAAACTGGCTTTAAATTTTTACTTTAACAAAAATTTAAAAACAATCAATTTTCTTTTTGAATGTAAGCATTAACATGTATTTTTTTAAACCACACTAATAATAACATAATTATGTACAGAATATTTGAAAGTTCATCTGGATATCTGTAAGACACAAACATCACAGCAAAAAGTCATATCAATAAAAAATTTTGAAACAACTACAGCAGAATTAAATTTACTCAAAAAACCAAATCACAAAATCACATACATAAACGTGGTATAAAACTACGGAGCCAACAACATGTGCATTGATGGTTGTTCATCATCTTTTATACAACATTTATTGTTTCGAAACTTTTCAATCAGAAGCTAACAAATTATGATAGGCCATGGTACATTTTGTCGACCGGCTGGCCATTAAACGCGGCCCAATTCTATTATAAGATGTGTATTGTATTACACTACTTAATATTGCATTTGTATTCTTTTCTTAGAGATAAATTATTGCAAACATACACAAATGTGTGTCTTTTTCTCTCCCTCTCTCTCTCTCTCTCTCTCTCTCTCTCTCTCTCTCTCTCTCTTTCTCTCTCTTTTAACTCACACACTCTTCTTTCTTTTCTCAACAGTTAACTATTAACTTTTTGAAAATAACTGTTTCGCATTTTTGGTACAAATTACAATTGGATAAATTTGAATACATTGCCGCGTTGTGAATGTTTGAGTGGTCAAATCTTTTAAAAAAACTCATAAAGGTTAACTAATGTATATAATGTAGAATATATTTACGAGAGATTAAATATATCTTTCAGACAAAAACTTATAAAAATTAGTCATGAATAAACATTCTCCAACGTTTATGGAAAAAACTAATTAAACTGGCAAATTCTCAAGAAAAAAAACTTTTAAAATTACATCAGAAGCAACAACAACATCAACATGTTGGCAAAAACAACACATAATCAGCGTAAACACCAACAAATCAAAACGAAACGAGATTTTTTTGTGTAACAAAAAATAGATAATGCCAAAAGCTTGACCAGGATAACATTAACACCAGCGATAACATTAAAACCAACAACAACACACAAACACATTCCCAATCACAACTAACTATCAAACCAACCATCACCCAACCGTCCATACAACACAGTATGTATCAGTGTATCTCTCCCATACAACACAACAAAGCATGTATCAGTGTATCTCTCCCATACAACACAACAAAGCATGTATCAGTGTATCTATAATGGCCCCCTATCATTAGCCTAATTGACAATTCATTAGGCAATTAACGACCAACAAATTAAAACATATGTCCTTTCGCTATGTTATTCAGTGCCTCTGATAATATCAGGATATGCAGCTATATTTAGTCTATAGATGTATATACAATGTCTTCAGCATACATATATAGATTTGCATATATGTGTGGGTATATGAATATATTATATATATGGTATAATTAATATATATATACATATATATATATATATATATATATTATATATAAGTATAATATATATAAACCTAATCGGCACACCTGAGTCTTTCAGTTTTCCAAGCGGGGTGATGTATGTTGAAGATGACTACCTATACATAAATACATGCATATATGAAGGTATGTGTGTGTGTGTGTATGTGTGTGTGTGTATGTGTGTGTGTGTATGTGTGTGTGTGTATGTGTGTGTGTGTGTGTGTGTACGTACATATAGTTTTGTGTATTTGCTTGCCAGAGAGTTTGTTTGTAGTATGAGAATAACCTGATTTAAACATGTAATTAAGCTGGCACTGAATCTCAAAAGTAAGAAAAAGTCAGTGAGACTTATCATGTTGGTTCATTGGTTGTTTTTCATTCCCAACATCTATCCATCGTTTGTTTCATAACAAAAAGTAAAATTTTTATCATAACAAGTTGCTTCTGCAACTAAAGCTCAGAGAATTTTTTTTAATGTTATCCAAACTTTGGCGTCTAAAATTGAAGATGTAATAGCATATACGCATGCAAAAACAGATTTACATGCAAGTAGACTTGAAATTTTAATAAACGTCACTTTACAATCTTACACGAAAAGTTGCTATTAAATTTTTGTTTTCATTCTTTTAATTTTTTTTGTTGGGAACATTTGATTTAACATTTGCAACTATGAAACGATTACAGTGCAAAGCAGTTTTATATACATTCCATTGTTTTAAATCTTTAATTTTTTGGAATAAAATCGTTAGAGGCAAAATTTTAAAATTCATTGACGTGTATTGGAAAATTTAAGGATACTACAATTTACAAATAAAATTTTACATTTTTTTCAATTGTTGACAAAAACAAAACATTGAAATGTGAACATTAAAGTTTATCTACATCATTTGTCTGTAATGTAACGTTTGTGAATGCTTGTGTGCATGCAAGCAGATATGAATGGAAAAACAAACATTTATTAAGCATTACATAAGTTTTTTCAATGAAAAAATCATCATACTCTTTCAAATCTCGCCGTATTGCATCAATCCACACGTTAGGACATCGCATTGTATTAAATCAACTTATACAACATCACAACGAAAAATGACATCAAGTCACTTTTATCAAGTCACATCATATCTCACTACGTCAAATCATATAACATCACATTACATTGCGTGGTCACGTCACATTTCATGCCATTAAATCCCATCATCACAGCAATCCGTCTCTTATAATTAGCAAGCATAAATTAATCACATCTATATAAAACACGGCACATCCAGACCAGGCTTTTAAGACCTCGGCACACATCAAAGAGGTAGATGCGACATGTTTCAACCAATTAAATTTTCCAATTTGTGTATTAGTTTGAAAAACTGTTTGAATAATGATATTCTACGGAGAAAGATATAATATCGCTAATAAACTAATTATTGTATTTTATAACTTTAAAATGTTTTATGAAAATATTAACACGCCTTACATAATGTTATATATATTTATATAAAATATCGACTGTAGCTCTCCATCGTACATAAAAAGTAAGTCTCGTACCTATGAATATAGGTAAATTTCATTTGTGTGAGCGATTATTGTACAAATTTGAGAAACTTTATGGTGAATATTAATAATTTGACAAAAATTACCTCAAGCAAATAACTGAGTACGTGTAGAAACAATTGCAGACAACCATCACATAGACACGGACGTAAAAAAAAGAAATGCATGTACGTAAAGAATCTCCGCGCGTTTTGAACGCATTTGATGTATATCAAACGCAATTTTTTTATATAAATTTACACATCTTCCAACGAAACTTTTCTATTACAACTGACACAAATATCACGTGGGCACATTTCACAACTCAAACAAGCCACACTCCAGGCAGCACACATAAAGACGACGCGGGAACACCGTTAGAAAAAAATGACAGGCACTTAGTGTTAATGTGGCAATTGTAGCAGCGAGGTTAGCGACAGTAAAAACGCGACGCCGAAACAAAAACATCGTTGCCTATGCGCAATAATTACATCATATGATAATTTTTGTGTGTTTCATGTCCGCATGCAAACGTCACTGGACATATGACCATCTGGGAGTGGCGATGCATATTAACTCAACCTATTGTATACCTACAATGTATGAATTGTCAGATGCCCTGTGACACGAGTATGTGATTAAA